ATAAATTTAAATACCTAGTAGTAATACTTAATGCTAAGAAAGATTGCAGAAGAGTGGCTGAAAGTGGTTGTTTTAATTTTGACTCAAAATGACGAAGTGATTTTTGCCCAACTGGGCTTACTCTTATCTTGGCTTGGATTATTGTCATCAATACTTGTAATAAAAACATTATCAATTAAAAACAGAATTTTCTGTTCCAAATACATAATTCATCAAATTTAAATATATTAATTAAATGTTATATTTTCCATACATTGTACTTAAGTAGCAATAAGTGTACAAACCTTCTTATTAACGTTGGCTAATAGAACATGGAAAATCTTTGGGCCACTTTTCTTGCCGACCGGACAGTGCTCTCATCCTGTGAAGTTATGAGCTTAGTGCGGTTTATAGACTTATGAAGTTGGTTCACTTTTACAAACCTTTTTAGCTTCATTTATACGCTAACTGCTGCGGTCCTTTTAGGAGTCCAGATCACAATTCGCATTCTAAGTGGGCTTTAGTGTACAAGGCCGCTATTCCAACCTGACCTTGCCTAACCTCAATTATAGTTAAAATTCAGCAACAATATCTGCTTTTAATATCTGCTTTTAATTTTTATTATCTGTTAAAGCAAAAATTATCTACTGACAGTAAAACTAAAAAAACTAAAAAAATAATCCAAAAAATGAACCATAATTTAGCATTTCATATATATTTAAAAACAATCAAAGTCATAAAAATAAAATAATACTACAAAAACTTATATTCAATTACTTAGTCGAAAATAAAATTTTATATTTTCGACAACATTTTCTTAATGTCCTTGTTTTGGTTACGCACTACGAATTTTATTTTTATTAATATGAAAATAAAATTAAACCCCTTTTCATTTTATATATATATATATATATTTACTTTAATGTACTTAGTAAAATTTGACTAAAAAAACATTAAAAATAATTTTTATTTTTTTATTTTTTTTTTTAGCATCGCTTAATTCAAATCGAACATTACGATGAATATCCTTCACGCAACAACACTTTTGCTATTGAGTTTGTTTTGCCTGAGTTTTGCTTGTGGTGAGCCAACATTCCCAGAAGGCAATAATCCCCGCGGTAATCCCTCAACTAATCAACAAAATACGCTTTTCTCTGAGGCTGATCTTGATTCACGCAACTCCGGAGATATCGACAGTTCCAATTATGATAAAAGGGTTGAACGTTATGCTTTCGGTTTGGGTCGGCGTGCTTATACCTACACAACTGGACCCAATGGTGTCAAACGTTTGCCAGTCTATAACTTTGGTTTGGGTAAACGTGCTCGTCCTTATTCGTTTGGATTGGGTAAACGTGCTGATTATGAAGATGAGGAAATCGATTTTGATCCTGCTTATTTAGCTTTTATGGGTATGTAAAACTTGAAAAAAAACACGCATCATAACCTAAAAAATATTTTTTTTTTCTTTTCAGATGAAAAACGAAATCGTCCTTATAGTTTTGGTTTGGGTAAGCGTGAGCGGCGAGACCAAGCAAGTAGATATGGTTTTGGACTTGGCAGACGTTGAATATATTCCATTTAAAATGCTTACGAATTTTTAGTTTTCGGAGAGGCAAAACTGAATTTTTTCCTTGTTATTACTATTTTATGGCACATTGACACAACATACACTAAACAGCAATATCTATTGCGTCTATGTATTTTCCAGCCTAGTCAATTCATTTAATATAGTTCTAACAGAAGAAATTCAAATATTTATTTCATGAATATTAGACATAATTGGGGCAACAAAAATCTATAATTTAATTTTTAAGTAATACAAAGACTATTCAGAATTTTCATCGGGCAATAAAGGAAAATATTATACAGGAAAAGTCAAAAAGCCGATCTTTAATTGGAAAGTTGAAAAGTTAAAGTTTTATTTTGACATTATTTTAAATTAGCTTATGAATTAAAAATGTTCACAAAGTAGTTAAAATATTTATTAAAACTATATTATACCTATTATATTATTTCAAATACTACATTGTTTGGTGCCATCTAAATAAGAGTTTCTTCTAAGAAAGCATTCCATTCCTTTGGAGTGTTTTCGTATGATATGACACGAGGGAAGTACTATATTAATTTCTGATCATTTTAATATTTCTTGTCTTAATATATATATGAAAATTATGTATAAATATTTATTATAACATTTATTTCCATATTTAGTTGATTTTGTAAAATTTATCTTAAAGTAAAATTTAATGCTATATAAAATTTATTAATCAGTATTTAAAAATGTTTCTTATAAACTATTAGAGAAATATTTAAAAAAAATCATATATATAAATAAATATGTAAAATATGTTGTTAATAATATAAATATATATGTTTTAAAGAAATCAAATATATACGATATATATAAATATATATATATATATAAACATGTTTAATGTGCAATTAACTTTTCATGTGTGTGTGTAATTAAATTAAAAAATATTTAAAGAAATAAAATAACAATATCAATGCATTCGTTGTAACTAAGGCAAGGAGAAGCTGTATAAGATAAGAATACCTATAATTTATATATATATAATATGAAATACATGCAAAAATATTTACTTAAATATATAGAGCAAACTGCATTAAGTTTTTAAATATTCTTTACTTATTTGTTTTACAATAATGAAATAAATAAAATATTAATATTAAAACATTTTTCAGAATGGTATTTAGCATCATATTTCAAAGAAAAAATGTCAATATAGGATATCTGAAAATATAAACAAAAATAAAAAAATTAGAAAACTATTATTAACATAGTAAAATATGGACCTGTAACTACCGATATGATATAATTGGTCATTAGTAAACCTGTAAACCTTAGTATGTCAAAAGAATATAAATAAGCCAGATTACCCATTTTAGAAGAAATCACAATTTTTGATGGTAGAATTTTAGAAATCTAGATAGTTTATTTTAACATTGTACTAACTTCTTCCGTTCTTACTTTTATATAAAGAACTAAGCAAATTTTCTAGATAGTTTATTTTAACATTGTACTTACTTCTTCCGTTCTTACTTTTATATAAAGAACTAAGCAAATTTTTTTATAATAAAGAAATATAAGAAAATATGCTTACATATCCAAGGAAAAAAGAAATACTTTCTCTGGAAATGCCCAGACCTAGCAAGATTAAGACTTTCTACTTAGTAGTGGAAGTTCACGAAATTAGGAGCCTGGCCGACATCACAAACATGGATATTCAAAAAATAAACTGCCTTATTACCCGTTCGATTTGGTTTCGAAACTAAGTTTTTTATAAGTATTATCAAAATGGTATCAAAATGACGTCTCTGCACTACTTGAACTAGAAAAGCATGGCCGCTATTAAAACCAACCAATCATACGTAAAAATGTTTCTACTCACCTTAAGGTTCCAGTTTCACCTTAAAAAGTCAAGAATATCAGATTAGTTCACCTCTGACAGTTTTTAGGCATCATAAAGTAGTATTCTTATAATGAGTTATCAAATAGTACGGTTCTATATTGGTCGAAGTGGGTGCACGAATTTTAGTTACAGACAAAACCGAATAAATAGTTTATAATCGTTATGTTTTATTATACATTCACCATTATTTTCATTTCTGTTTACTCTTTCCAATAAGTTTACTTTGCATATAACTTGCGATGTATGTAACCTTCATTATTCCATCGCCTTCTTTTCTGTTCTTATATTAAATTATTTTAAAAACATCAGAAATCTTACATATACAATCTTTATATCCTTCATTTAACTGTGAAAATATAGAGAACATACACAAACTATATATATTCTTAATCAACACGATAAGATCCACACTGTCTATTAATATTAATGTCTGAAAATTGGTCGGTAATTTTTTCGCAGACTAATCAAATGAGTACAATTCTCATTTTGAAACTTTCGACAGATCAAGTTCGAATACAAACTATCAATGACTTGGCCACAAAATATAGTTGTATAAAATAAATTTATATTTATTAGTTTAATTACATTTAATATCCTGAAGAACTGAAAGATGAAAATACTCCTAATATTAATTTAAATTTAGTTTAATTCACATCAATTATGACATAAGTCCTCATCACTTCAGGTAAACGAAGTTAATGCTAAACTTGGATGGCTGCTGCAACTACCAACTAGTTAAGAGTTGCAGGCTATTTGTCACTTGTTCTTACCACCGAAGATACCAAGTGATACCAAATACCACATTCAAGCATTCGAATTTTAATATTAAGTTAGTAAACTCATTGAATTTAATATGCTTAATAATGTTCATATCGCTTTTACATATCAATATTTCTTATTTGTTGATAGAGAGACGGCTTTATTGGCTCTCTATTTTAAAGCTCAACTGCTTACTTAGTACGAAGTTTTATCTATTTGCAAACGTGTTCGTTCGTTAAATCAATAGATTGACATTATTTTAGATAATTACACCAGATGAAATATTGAAATGCTGTGCCTGAGGCATCAATGTTTTCTTGTTCTACCTGGATTGCACTATCTATGCAATATCTACAAACAATTTATGCAAAACATATACCATGTTTAAAAATAAATAAATAAATACAAATATATTTGTACAGAACAAATAAATTTTTAATTTCTTTTTAGATTATATATCTGCCAAAAGTAATTAATCTTCAATATAGAACCATGTTTTTGGCGTGTAAATAAAACTTTGCAATACAGATAAGAAATAGTTTTAGATTTTATAATACTTCAATTAATGTAATGTTTATTTCAATTAAAAAATATTGGTAACATATATCATTTATTCAAAATTAATTTTATTTTTATTTTTTTTAATTAAAAAAGAAACTTTTTACATATTTTATTATTTGCAATACACAATATTCGCATTTAAAAGATAAAATATATATATTATGACATTAATTATCTACTTAATACTTAAAAAAAAACGACGTCCATAGTGTAAAATAAAACAAGACTTTACTTAAAATTCAGAATTTTGAAAGATTTATGTAATGCAGTCTATAAATTATGTTTTAAATTTGGGTATACTAAAAAGCTGCTTTAGAGATATTAATTTAAAACCTCAAATATAAATCTCAATATAATGTAATTTAGAGAGCTTATGTTATCAATTATTTATGAATACTAATATTAATCTAAATGAAGGAATTAGTTAGTCGTATAAAAATAAAATATGTAGATTTGTTGAAATCATTTCATTAATAAAATAAATAACGCTTATGTTACAGATATATAAAAGGAAACATATAATACAATTTGAAAACAAACGAATATAGTTAGAACAATTGGATAATAAGAAAGCTTATACTAAATAATATTAATACCTAACTTATAGAGCACTGTTTCAAAGGCATACACTGACGAAATAAATATATAGGGCTTATTGCAAATCACCCCATAATCTGGTTCTAAACTAGGTAAAGCACGACTGGAGAAAATTTTATTTTGTGGACAGCGTGGATTATTTGTTTTACGTATATTTTGTTTCATTTTTTCCTTTCGAGCTACCAACTTTCTAGTTTCCCTTAACAAAAACACCGAATTAGCACTTGTCATAAACTTATATATTATCTAAAAAAAAGTATATATGCATTATATATTCATATTGATTATAATTTATTAAATAATATAAGTACTTCTCTCTTCCTAGGGCAATGACTAAAAATCCAAATAAGCGTACATAATGTATTGAAAATTTCGCAGTCCTTATCACACCATCGTAGTAACATCTGTGCAATAGTCACTAAACCACCTTCCTGGAAAGTATTTGCGGTTGTGCTATTGTAGCGCGCCAAATTTAAAATAATTCTACTGGAATATTCAATGATCTGCTTGTCTACTTCAGAACGTATTGCTTGCGCCATTGTGCCATAACAAAAGTTTGATATAAAATCGGATTGTGACATTAAGAGGTGTGGCACCGTTCGCGATATACGATCTGATTATTACAAATAATATATTTATTAAATACTTTCTAACATAATATAAGAAATTTATACCTAAACGACTCAATACGTGTAAGCTCTCTGATACACAGAATCGTGAGCTTAGGACACGCACGGAGTCCTGCACTTTCCACCGTATCGATTGAAACGTTTTAGACGCGTCCTTCAGCAGTTTTATATTCCTGCGTATGGCTAATATACGTACATTGTGGAAACGTTTACGTATATTATAGCCACGCCAATATTTTTGTATGATTTTAACAGCTTTCTTCTGACGCATTAATTCAATCATTTCAGGTGTCAATAGTGCTTGAAAACGGGTGCGTGCTAGGAAACCACGTGCATTTGCCTGAAACTCTAATGTAGATTTCCTTAAATTAACAAAACGTATACGCTCCTCTTGCATCAACTTCTGTCCACGGAATTTTTGCTGTAGATGTATAGTTACTTCCTTTAGCTTAAGATATTCAGAGCGAGTATGACGCGTTATTAAATACCCACGATATTTTTGCTGTATATAAATGACTAGTGTCCTTATTAACAAATATTGACTTCGCATCTTTAGCATAATAAGTCTCGCTCGATATCGATTCTGTAGAGTTATTGCAGCTGTTCTCTGCTTTTGATATGCTTGCCGGGCCTTGCTCATGGCTAATGTGGCACGAATTTTTCGTTGCAGGAGAGTCACTTTTTGCAATGTTTCTAAGTATTCCTGACGCACTAAACGTGCTTTTATTGTGGCATGCCACTTTTGTTGAATCATTATTATATTGCTTCGTGTTCGCAAATATACACTTCTTTGAGTTTGCATCAAAAGTATGGAACGGTACCAGGTTTGAATTTTAATAACTGCAGCACGCTGTAGTCTATATGATGTTCGCACTTTATTCATTGTTTGATAGTTGCGATAATAGCGCTGAATAAGAATTATTTTACCGCGCTTTTCAAGGTATTGTGTTCGCAATTGACGCATAAGTAATGTAGCACGGACATGTCTTTGCAGGTTGACAAGAGAATTACGTGTTCGCTGGTACTCTTCTCGAGTTTTACGACCCAGTAACTTTGCTCTATAACGTTGTTGTATATAGACTATAAGTGCACGTTTATGATCGTAAATTTGCTTCTCTTTGCGCATCATTAACTTGGCACGATATCTTCTCTGCATATTAAGCGTAATTGTTTTGAGTTGCAGAAAGTCATTACGCACTTTCCGCATGTTTTGCAATGATCTATAATGTTTTTGGAACAGTACTGCTCCACGCTTTTGTTTCAAGAAAAAGTCTCTTTCCCGTTTCGTTTGTTGGTAGGAACGTACATATTGCTGTATGCAGATTGTAGCTTCTCTGACACCCCGATACTTGGCCCGCCAATAACGCATGTTTTTATATGCTCGAAATCTTTGCTGTATCGTTCGGACGGCTTGCAATTTTTCTACGTAAGCAGCACGTTGCAGTCGCATTTTATGGTTTGCACGGAATTTACGCTGCACAAAAATGGTGGCTAACCGCAATTCTTGATATTCTGCTCTTTGCTTAAGCATTAATTTTTTACAGCGAAACTTTTGCTGCAGGACTGTGGTATAGTATTGAAGTGAAATGTAGTGCGCACATACGCGTCGCTTTAAGAACGTAGCGCGAAGTTTGCGTTGTATGACAAGTGCACTTTGTTTCATTAGCAAAAACTGCTTCCTTTCACGCATCATGAGCATACGAGCGCGATATCGTTCCTGTACAATACAGGCACTTTTCTGTAGTAGCAAATATCGCTTTCGATGTAATAACATTAGTTTCTTTGCACGATATCTTCTTTGTACGGTAAGGGCAGCATCCCTTAATTGCAGATAAGATGAACGCTGAATTCGATTTGCTTTTATTGCCCGAAATTTTCTTTGAACTATAATAGCACTTTTACGTTGTAATAAAAATGTTTTCCTTATATTTGCTCCAATACGATAAGCACGCCAATAACTTTGTATATGTTGAGCTGCCAGTTCTCTTTCTTCGAGGTATCGTAATTTCTCTGCTTTAGCAAATTCCAACAGTTTTTTTGCAACTAAACGTTGTCTATACCGACGTTGTATTATAATTGTGCTGGTCCTTAACGCTTGGTACCGCCGTCGACAAGTCAAACCCTCAATATTTGCTCGATACCAACGTTGAATATAAATTGCAGAGCATACCATTTTGAAAATATGTTTTCGTGACAGAATACCACGTATGTGTTTTTGAATTAGTGTAGCAGCTTTCACACGCTCATCTTTATAGATCCTAACATATTTACGCGAAATGTGACCACGGAAGAAGGATTGAATTTTTGTTGCTGCTACTTCACGCTTTAATTTTATTTTATGTTGTATACGTCGCTGTATGTTCACTCGTAGCCATATGTTTCTCCACCATTTCTGTAAAACACTGGCTGCACCATGGAATTTAGGTGATCTAAACTTGTATATAATTTGCCATAACAACGATAGCGTTTTTTCACGATGACCATCTACTATATCAGTTGCTGATATATCACCTTTAAGCTCAAATTTAGCTTCGTTTAATGCACGCAGCGCAAGATTCACATTAAAGACACGTTGTAGCCGTGATATGGCAGGTACACGCAACTGTTTAGTCATGTCATCTCGCAGTAATATTATCTCCATAACGCGTGTAAGACGAACACCATCTCTTAAGTCTATGGCGATGTTATTAAATGCATAATCGAATTCATCCAAATAGCTTTGTTTGTGCTGTAACACGTAGCCGTGACGTTTAAGGTCACGTGTTATGTCACCTATATTTGCTAAAAGCTCAGAGGCGAATCGAAGTAATATCTCTTTAGTTTCCTTGTGTGGCGATTTTTTCACGAATAAGCACGGATTATGCTTAATGATACGTTTAGTTTTAGCTTTATCCAGGAATAGCAATAGAAATAGCATTTTACGTAGTGTGTGTTTTTTGATATAATCTGCGTACTCATCTGAAAGGCTGTAGGCTTTGGAAAACTGTTGCTCCTTATATTTGTCTCGAAACAATCTAATAAGGCACAAAAAAAACAATATAATTTATATAATATAATTAATACTACTTTTCTATATTTAATTTATTGCAAGAAGAAAAAATGATGCAGATCGCCATTATAAGGTCTAACCATGACCAGTTCAAACTCAGTCTCATTCTATAAATGAGATGAGTGAAACATGCAACATACAACTGATTTGGATACTTGGTTATATTAATATTGCAAGACATTGAAAAGCTCATGTCCTAGTCACAGACAGCGATACTTTTCCTAATTTTATCATAATAACTTAACTGGATATCCCAGTTTTCTTCATTAAACAAAAAAATGACGCAGATGGAACGAACCTGCTATATACTAACAATATACAACTTTAACCGAAAACATGCCACAAAAAAAGGGGCATTCATTTAAGTTGAATAAAAAAAACGTCAATACGCGCTACAGACCATTATTTAACGTACTTTGTCATTGAAATTGATAAGCGGCTCCAAGAGGTACACTCGGCCGTTCTTGAAACCATCATTATTTAATTTACATACACTCATTTCTATTAGGTGTCCTAAAAATAAATTTATATAAAAATTATCAAGATAAAGGCAATCACAAACAACCCTCCATGCACAAAGTTTTCTAAAGATTTCTAATTTAAATAATTAGTAATACTGATAATAATAAGGAATTAAGCCATCACTTGTACCATATACAAAAGAATTATAAATATTAATTTCAATGTGTGCAAATATGTTCCATGTAAACAGTGTCAAAAATGTAACCACACAATCAATTTATCATTTAACAAGATTTAATAATATATCTTACCGATTTAATATGAATGTACTTAGTCCTACTATGTCACTATTCGAATGAAGATGTATTGTTTCTCCGAAAACCACTTCTAAACCCAATCTTAGCCATAATGGATTAAAACAAAGCAAGAGTTCTAATATGTAACGTTGCATTACCACATCTAAATGCAAATTTCGATCACTGCGTATCCGTATGTCATTTTTATTTATATGTACTGCAACATTAGAGCATGGAACACGCATTTCGTTACTAAAGTATAATTTAACTGCGGCATTTCTAAGTGACTCCAATCGAAATTTAGTTAAATAATTTGCAGATTGCTCCTCTTTAGTTGGTGCTATGATAAGTTCCTTATTTCGTACTTCACTAAAAAGTTTACCAACATCAATTTTAGTATCGCGATCCACATTAAGATCTGCTGGTAAAGAAACCAAAGCATTAAGCCACTTCTTGAAATCTTGCAAATGTTTTTCGATTGCATATTCATCTAAATACATTGTAGAAGCTAAGAACGGGTCAGTTGTTGTTGATGCTGCAAATGGATCTGGATTTATGCACTGTTGCAGATACAGTTCAGTATCATATAATTTAACTATAGGTTTCTCTTTAATTTTTCTAGGCGTAATCGGTTTTTTAACTAAAGATAAAGTAGTTGAAAGCCGCATTTTTCTTTCTGGTGCTTGTGACCAATTTTTGTGACGTGAAGTGATGGAAGTGTATGTGGTGGATGGGCGTTGAAAAGGTGAAGAATCAACGCGCATACGCTTGGGTGGTGATATTACTGCATAACCTAAATTAAATTTAATATAGAAAAGAATTAAAATAAATATTTAAAAATGTATCACACAGAAAAGAATACTTACTTGACTTTATTATACTTAGACTCGTATTTGATTCAGTGGGTGAATCAGAAAATGATAACTCATTGCTTTTTCTTTTATTTTCATTAAGTGGCTCTTCATTCTTATGTGGCTTAACATTATTTTTTATAGAAGTTTTGATATTGAGTGGCTTTTTAGCTTTGGAATAAGTCATAATTTTCTTATTGGATCTTAAGCCCACTTCATTTATATTAAAACGACTGGATTGCGCTAAAATTTCATTTTGATTAAATAAAAGATCACCATTCGACACAAGACTTATTTGACTGCAATTTGGGGTAGAAGACTCTAAAGGTGATTCAGACTCATCAAGTACACCAACCGAAACAGTATTGTGTTCATATATGACAGACATGCCATTGTTGTTATATTGCGCATTTTGATAAAAATATCTATTTTGTTCAATTGAACGTATTGTTTCCATTTCATTCAGATTTGGTAAAGATCCTTGTGTTCCAAATTTTGCTTGAGGTTTTTTTTTTAAAAGATCCGTCATAGATTCTGAATGTTTACGCAACGGAGCTCCCACTAGTTTAATGTCACGTTTCAATTTTTCTGTGTTCTGTATGGTATTAGTAGAGGGTTTCTGCAAATCATTTATACTTGACACTGGTGTTGCTTCTTCTGTGATCATATCTAAAGGACGACCCATAGGCGATGAACTGATTGTTGTTGTTTTATTTAAGGTTACTAAAGTATTAAATTGCATTTCTTCTTGAGTTAACTCCACAGATTCTCCATATGCAGAATTTTCTCTATGCTTAACATTAAATGTTTTATTATTAATAAGGCTTACAGATGGTTGCTTCTCTTCTGTTGGAAGCAAATCAATTTTTATATCTGGTATTTTAATTTTAAAAACTTCATCGTCATCAACTAGATCAGTTGAAAGTCGTCGGGGACGTATATTTGAGCATTCAATATTTTCGCTACTACCTCTATTCACTGGTGTTGGAAGCAAAGCCAGATTATATGACTTAATATTTGAATTTGATAAAGTTTGAGTAATGATAGGAGTAAATTTAATATCATCAATTAAATTCATAACATTCCCTGGGGTTAAAGGACTTATATTTTCTTTGTATGTATCAGAACCAACAATAACAGGCGATATATTATTAACACAAACATCTTTTATATAATTGTTATGTTCAATCAACGGAGATGTATTATTCTTGGTAGATTTTATTCGCTGTGCTTGAACGGAAGATTGCGGGATGGTATTCAACCATTTCGGCCTAAGCACTTCTCTAGTACTGGTACTTCGTTTTTGTTGTTGTGAACTTGCTGTTAGAGATTTTTTCTGTTTATTGATGCCTGTTGGAGATTTCAGACGTAATGTCTTCGTATAACTTGTACGATTTGATGATACTGTAGGAAATTTGCGTGTAGTCTAAACGAAAATTTATTAAATTATTAATTCATATATTAAATTATTATAAATTAATTATTCGTATAAGTACCTTTAATGCTGTTTTTGTTTTTAGTATTATCATTATATCTTTCCGAAAATTTCTATTATCTGTTAATTGTAATGTTTCTGTACATGCTACTTCTAACGTTGGATTCCAAATCATTTCCATTATTAGCTCACTTTGCGCTGGTACAACATTCTCGTTCCAATCAATAGAGATGCCGTGGGCAGGATTAACCATTTTAGTTACTTTAACCTGAATTTAAGGGTATTTCAATATAGGCATAATTTTTATTGTAATAATACAACAGACAAATAGGTCTAACTTAATCATTAAGGTAACAGTTATAAGCTAACATAAGCATTAAAACTAACTGGGTATTAAGGAAAATAATGAAAAAAAAATATGTTGCCTTGGCGGATTTCTTAAAGAAGAAACAGACAAAAATTTTTATCCATTATAACAAAAATCTAAATATATTAGTATAAAATTAAATAAAATATCTTCACATAATCTAAGAAAATTTAACTTCATTCAATGAGGCATTGCAACTTGGGAACGCACATTTAAACGTAGAACAGCCCTTGTACACACAAAGTCGAGGCGCAATTCTGAAAAGAAAACGCCATATGGAATTTCCATCATTCCATTTTGCATATTTGCTGATATTTTTGAATGTCTTTAATTTTTGTACTTAAAAATAAATTGAGATTGAAAATATGGTGTAAATAAAGTGATTGCAACCAAGCAACACAAAAACATTCTAAAAAAGTAAATTCACCCAGAAAGGCAGCACATAACACAGGCAAACTGCTCTGGTGTTTTATCAGTGCTCGCAGTGACCTTCTGTGTTACATTCAGATACGGCACCATTGCACACTGTGCATTTTCCAGCGAAAATATACAGTTTTGCAATTATCAATTTAAATAGGTAATATGGTTTATGGTTTTTGTATAAAAAAAAAATCTTACTTCTATATCTTCATCTGCTGTATTGATGATTTTTAAAATGCGTTTAGCAGTTTTCGTAACTGGAACGTCTTCAAATTGTACAATTGATTTTGCTGAAAATGGAGCCATTATCACATTTGTCGGTTCCTTCCCCTCAGGAGGCTTTTTATTTTTATTTCGGGTTGGAGTAACTTTTACCTAAATTATAATTATTTATTACCGTACTTTATAAGATATTAATATAACGAACCTCGAAAGCACTCATTTTTTGTTATATATTATTCTTTACTTTATTTAAATATTAATGAAATATTATTTTAAAGCGGGATAAAACAGAAATCAAAATCTTAACAACAAAAGTCAACACAAACACACACCAAAGTATGCCGAACAAAGCCGCGCCAAGCTGTTATGAATTTAAATCCGTTAGGCCAATTTGTATTTGCTTTGCACTATTCGAAAATTCGAAGTCTGAACAAATTAGAGATGCCAGATGTGCAATCAAGCGCAGTAATTATTTATGTCGCTATATAAGTTTTCCGTATGCTTCACATTTTAAGAGACAATGCAATTATAAAATATATTAACATAATATTAAAAATATAAAAAAATATATTAAAATAAAAATTTATATTTGATATGTAATGGTTTTGACATATAAATTTTATTTAAAAAATATTATAGTTAGGACCATGTTAAACAGAGTATCTCAGGCACGGCAAAATTCGCACTTTTATGCTATTCCGAAAATGCATGTTATGCAGAGTCTCACATAAGTATTGCCAATTTCGTATTTTTACAATGTTTTGGTACTCTTTGGTTGTACCTAATTTCGAAAGAAAATGTAGGTATGCTCACTTTCCAAAAATAATTAGCTGGAAAAAACTCATAGAGGCTGTATTACTGTATAATTTATTATTATATTATCTTATAATAATTGTTAACAGTATATTTTCGTTCTTTTGTGACATACTTACAAAAGAAAAAGCATTTCGCAAAACGAATAATAAAATTTAAAGTTAAAATTTCGATAATGAATAATAATTCTTTGCAATTATTAGTAAGTATATATATATTTTTTACATGATTGTGAATAAATATGAATTTTCATGCCTTTTAACAGTAAAATAATAAATAGAAAAAATAACGTATTCGTTACGAACAATGACGACACGAAATACGAATAATTAACGAAATCATTCGTTGACAGTTAACTAGAAATATCGTGCGTACTTCCAAACATCGTTCACAATAGACGAATTTTTAGTCTTGGCAACCATACGATTTCAGCTGTTTATTAGTTAAACGATTTCAAAAAAGTTGAACTAAATAAATCAACCTAAATAAGTATTGTTGTTGCATATGTTATTGTTGAAATAAGCAGTTGTTCTTTTGTGATATGTTTACAAAAGAAAAAGCCTAATGTAAACACTAAATCAACTTTAGCAAAGTTCGTAATGTAAACCCCGTATAAGGTCTCAAGTAAATACGGTTATGTATTTTAATTTTGTATTAATGATAATTTAATTGTAGTTTTGAAATGTTCTACGAAAAATAATAGTTAATTTCGAAAAAATAAACAGTTTGAATATGGTTACATTTATATTCATACAGTTTTACATGTACTGCATACGTTTTAAGGTTTTTGTATTGGATAACGAAAAGGTGAATGCACAGGCTTAAATTATTTCATAGAAATAAAATTGAGAATCATATTTTTATTTCAACAGTAAAAATTTATAGTTTATTTTATATAAATATACTTATTTACTAATTTATATATGTTAAATAAAGTATTTACAAAATACACAAATAACAAAAAGGAGCAAATTTACACAGCATCAATTAAAATTATACAGACATAATTTTAATGAGCAATAACTTAAAAAAATAGCAAGTATTTGGCAAGAGCGATATCCCTTTTTTTGTAAAAAAAAAAGTTGAGCTAAAACAATTTTGTTGATAAGAAGTCTTTGCGGTTTCGTTCCATGTAATCCTCGTAATCATTGGAAGTATCTGCACTATAATACTTGTTCTTCATGTAACCAGGGAATGGCGTGACAGTGTCAAAATCATCACCAATGTCATCATCAGGCGGTTCAACTGCCGAAAATGATACTTCAAATCCTTTAAGTGATGTGCTTTCATCTGTTTGAAATCGAATGAGCATCGTATCCGAATATGAAATAACTGTTGGCGGCATCTTCAAAAAAGAAATTATTTTTTATAATATTTTAATTCATACATATTCCTAATGTCGACTTCGGTATAAATACCTTTCTACCGCAATATCGTCCATGGTTTGTATTGCTTTCGTAACTCGATTCTTCAGTGATCTCAACGAAATCATAATCACAACGATCGGAGTATTCGATATCAAATTGCAAAAATTTTATTTTAACGCTGCTCTCAGGATCAGCTTGTATGCGCCAGATACAGTACATATTTCGTTTATAAGGACGAATATCGAAGCGCGGATGAGAGTAAAATATTTGAGTGCGATTTATGGCACGTAAGTAACCTCCACATTCTAATAATTAGAAACAATAAGCTTTATGTAGTCAAAGTGTATGTTTGGCATAGAATTTTGAAAATACCTGTAGAATATGTAGCCATAAAACCACGTAACTGTAAGCCTGCATCAGTGCGCAGCACCATAAACATATCATTGGTAGAAGCTAGTACAGCATATGGTTCTCTGCCCCCACAATAGATGCCAAGTGTGGAACTATTCTCTGACTTTCCATCGTGTATAGCAACATAGTCATAGATACATTCCTATGGGAATATTAAAATATAATGCTCATTCATTTAAAAAAAAAACTATATTCTTAACCAGGTCCGTAAGCAGAAGTTTACTTTAGGAGGGGAGGGAATTTAAAAATCAATTTTTATCTTATTAAACAATTATAATGTATTAATAATAAATATATATAAATATACATATGTATTAATTTAGTCATTCGATTCATTGCTTCTTCAGCCTCTCAAGCCCTCCTGGCTGAGTGCCTATTCTTAACTCACCTGATGGTTTTCTATTTCAAAATCGTGAAAAGTCAATTGAACTCGATGGCCTAAAACGGTGTGAAAATGCCAAAAGCAATAGGTATTACGCGAATAATTGTGTGGATAGTTTGGACTACGTATGACTCCATACGAATTCGTTATTTCATATTTGCACTTTGTTTCGGTGCAGTTGTGATGATCTTCATGTAGGGTGTAGCCGTTTCTGCAACTGCAAATATAGGACCCGAATGTATTGCGGCAATGATGCTGACAACCTCCGTTATTTATGTTGCACTCATTCAAATCTTTTATAGATAAAAACAAAAATACATAAATAAAATAACAAAAAAAAATCAAACGCTGTTTTTCTAACTTCTGCCGTTTCTACAACTACTCCAATACTATCAATCAAACTTACCAATACTAATTTTTGCTTCAAATCCTGTATGTTGCAATGACTTATCGGAATAAAATTCTAGTCGTAAAATATTCTGTTCCGAGTTGAGTATCGGCGGCAATTCATGGCCACAAAAAATACCAATTTTCTTTAAACGATTGTCATGTAATTTGGAATAGGCCACCAAATAATCGTAGTTGCATTCTGAGTATTGATATTTTGAGCCTTCCAAATCGAAATGGGTAAAATTGAGAAAAACTGCATGATTTGCGGGCGCCACAACCTCCCAAATACACTCCTTAGATATTGGATAAACGTCTGGGTATGACGGCGAGTAAAGTGTACCATTGGGTGTGCTTGCATCGACAATACCACCGCAAGCATCTATATAAGAAAAAAAAATATTTTGAGTTGGCGTTAAATGTTTGCCACAGTTGTTGGATAATTAAACACATATCAACTACAAAAATGACAATAAAAACAGAAAGAAAAACTAACCTTCACAAGATTTGCCATCTGCTTGTAGCTCATATCCGGCAAAGCAGCCGCACTGATAGCTCCCCAGTGTATTGATACATTCGTGCTCACAGCCATGATAAGTAAATTTACATTCATCGACTTCCTGCATGAACAGCGCCGAAAAACCAACCTTCTGTACTGAGCCATCGGACACAAATTTCACATACATTTGATTTGAATTGGTCCTGCAAGGACAATAAAGTACAATAAATAAATAAATGCTATAATTTGGCCAGCAAAATGAGGCAATAACAATGTGTCCCCATTTTATTGCCTCAGTGTGTGAACGCTTCTAAATGTACTGTACTCACTTAATATTTGGCGGTAACGTGTAACCACAGTAGATACCAATTAATTCTGCATCCGAATCATTGCCATCCCGTATTTCCACGTAATCATAAATGCAATTATCACGCTTTTCCAATTCGAATGATTGAAATTTAAGTGCAACTTGATGATTGTCAGAAACTCTTATTCGCCATATGCACTCCTTGTCTGGGAAATATTCCAGTGGATAGTTAGGCGAATCAATACGAACTGATTCTTTATCGAGGTATACATCGCCGCCACAGATTACTGCGAGAAGGATAAGATATTTAATTATTAATTTCATTAATTATTATAATAATTTTAAGCAAAAATCTTCATGTGTGTCATGAGGAATGAAATATTTGTGTATTTAGTACCGATGGCTATAATTAATATTTCTAGTTAACCTCTGTATAATAGTTTAATATTGCTAATCAATTGATGAGGCTTGTCCATATTGAGACAAAGACAAAACAATTACTTAACACTCAAAACAATTGAAGAATTAATTAACTTTTTACTTACTTACTTACTATGTTCTTAATGCACCCCCGCAGAAAAGGGGGTGCAATATAATCGATACTGTTTGAAATGTAAATGGTAGTGAGTGAAATTCACCTCCGGCACCCAACCGGTGGTGTAAATCTGATACTACGGGAGTCAGAACTCGCGTGAATGATTGTATTTATTTACACTCATTCGAATTTAAGTTACATTTTACGACCGAGTGCTGTGACATAAAGATCAGCAGAGGTGTTAGATAGACCAAAGGAATTCCAAAGGTTTGTTTATCTGAGCATTATCTTGGATTGTGTTAAGAACACCTTGGTGTTAAGTCTTCACGACAGGTTATCACGTTAATTACTCTGGACTTCTGTCTACTTAATGCCTGCTGAAGCATATGGACTCCCACGTAAATATACTCTTATCCTAAATTGTCTTTATGACGAAACAACCGAATTTATTTCATTAACATTTTATAGAAATCATAATTTAGTGAAAGAATCTTAATTATGCCTTTCAATTTTTCTATCAAAAAAGTCAGTTCAAAAAGTTTGAATAAAATTTTCAGTCATTTCTTCCTTCCACATCATTTAGTCTCTGCATTTTTTCTATTTCACATTTTTAATACTAATAATACTAAAACGATGATGAAGAGTGTCACTTATTGCATATCCACACAAATTACATAAATAGGTTTCCCATTTAATCTATACCAACTGTGTGGAAATAACTTTTGGTAGTAAATCAATTGTAGCAGTTATTGTCGTTGTAAGCCCACAAATATGAGTATCCTTCCGAAACGTTTAATGTGAGGAATATATATTTTCAGAAATCAGCACTTTTTGTTATATTCTCATACTCATATGGTATATAAGAAAATTATTGTTGATGCAGATATATGTGCTTCAAGTTATCCTTATTCATACTCGCTTATGCGAAACTTTGATTTTCATGTGATTGTTCACACTCGTTGCATTTTAATTTGCACCCTTTTTGTCAACAATTGGAGGAAAATTTAAAAAAAATTTCCATGCAGAAAAGTTTTTTATGCTTGCTCAGCTTTGGCTAATCTGAAGTGTAATGGTACCGAACTGGTAGACAGTCAGGCAGACAAACAGACAAACAGACAAACTAACAGAATGTAGTGCATATGAATTTTTGTTTATTTGCATGACATTTTATTTATTTTAACCGAATTTTTTTTTTGGACAATGGGCTAGCCTTCCTTCCTGGTTATAAATTTCAGTTGGTCATTTTCATGTGCTGCTAACAGAATTTAGTGGTTTCTGATAGTATTTTAATAGTTTTTCGAATGTCCTGCTCAATAGTGACACTTTTCACATTCATTTATGCTTAAATGTATTTTATGGCATCTCTTCAGGACATTCATTACAGTTATGGGCGGACAAAGTGTGATAAAATGTATCAGCTTGAATTTATATTATGTTTACTTTTCTCCATAAGAGATTAATCGAAATAACTTACCCTCAAAATCAGCGGTAAATCCTCGATATCCTTTGAAGGCATTATGATTAACGTAACTAATAAGCATACGACTGGAGTCACTTTTAATTGTTTCCGACGTCACATTCCCACAGATTCTCTTAAGTACTGGTGATTTATACCAGTAACCGTCACGTACTTCTAAATAATCCGTTTCACAATTTGTGGTACTTAATAAATCCTTTAAATTATGTGATAAAATATTTATATAAAATTTATTTAAAAAATCTGTAAAAATATTGTAATCAAATCTTATACAAGGAAGGGAAACACTACAAATAATTAACATAAAAAACACTAAGCAAATATAAAAAAACCAAACATAATCAAATATACATACTCCTTCCTATTCATGATAACAGAGAACAAAATTATATTTACTATGGTACTTTTATAGTCCATGGATAAAAATTCTATATGATTGCTCACTACGATAAGCAGCCAGCTGAATATAACACAATTATTGTGGTTTAAAAAACTTTCAATAAAGCGCTTTCATGCTGCATTTAAACACTTTTTGTATTTGTGTAAAAAGAACTTAACCTTTACGCATTTACTTAAAATCATTTTACTTTCGTCACTTTCTGGACTTCATAAAAATTAATCAAATTAAAAAAATTTTAAATTTATTTTAACAAAATCACAAAACAAATTAACAAAATCTAGAACTTAATCTAGATTAAACTAAAATTAAAAATTATTATTATTTAAAATGTTAGTTTTTCCGCGCAGAGCTGAAATCCACTTGCTAAATATTGGATAAGGTAGGTAGATACTAGCTCATATGGGCTCTAAATAGTATTAGAATTATAATATTAAGGAAAAAGTGTTTAAGCATATTAGAGATCTAAAAATTGAAATAGCTAAGTTTAGTTCGAATAGAGAAATCAATATGTCGTTTTGATAAAATGGGCAATATAACCCGTACTGTGAATATTGGAGAGAAATTTGAGGAAGAGATAGTCTAGATTGAAAAAAAGTCTTTTGTTTGACATTTTATTACCCATAACTCCGACAGACTCACACCATTATAAGGGGTGTGAGTCTTTCATGTCTGAACCACAACTACAACAGTTATTCGTGATAATAGGTTCGTATTGATAATAATTGATAAGAATAATACAAAAACAGTATATAATTATATAACAGTAACAGTATATATATAAAAGCTATCGATTTAATTTTTTATATAAATTATGCTTACTAGGTGATGTATCTGCAAAACTATGCGCTCTCCATTCGTCGCTGTTATGCGCCACTCACATTGTTCCAATGATTTATCAAAATTATTTTCATAGTCATCTCCACTACCTTCATCGTAAATACTAAGTCCATTGCTTATATTGTCATCATTACCACCACCCGCTCTCACACGTTCATCCACAATATGATAATGTGGAGCAATTATTTGCCCAGAATTATCTTGATAGGTTCGTCCGCACGTCGCACATTTATACAACAAATTCGCTTGAGCTATATCGCCTTTGCTCAAACGTACACGTTGACCGATTTCTATGCGTGCCAAATCTGCGACTCTGATGGGTTGTATTGTGTCCAAATAGACGCTCTTTGAAAAAGTATTCTTTGCGTAGTGCATTATTGAATTATAATCATAAGGCAAGCCAAGTGAATCAACATCCTCTGGCGACAATACATCGAAATTGTACTCTTGTCCTTTCATTATATTAGCTTTGTTAATAATAATATGTTTGTCGCGGTCAGTGCGTGTGTGTTCATGCCAAAATCCTATCACATGTCCCAGCTCGTGTACTACAATTCCAAATCGTTCGCAATTTCGCCCAATTGAAATATCCTGCCGACCATTGCCACGCTTGCCAACAAATGAACAACAGCTGCATTTATTAGAAAATCATAATTTATGGTTAAAACTTAAAATTAATATAGGCTCCTATGCTTCATTACTCACCCACAATTTTTAATTGTAAAAAAGATATAATTGGGATGCACTTTTGGATCGCGTTCAATAAATTTAATGCAAGTAAAGTTTTCCCAATGCCGCATAGCCTGTTTGAAAAGTGCTTTATGCGAACCACTGAAGATATTATCTATTTCGTAAGGTATCACACCGTAGTCCCAAATACGTTGTTTCTTAGCTGTAACCGCCCGGCGGCTACGATGGGCAGGGAAAGGTTTTTGTTTCAACCTAAAAAATAAAAATATAATTTATTTCTGAAAATTTCAAACTCTTATGTGCTTTATTTATTTATTTATTAATTAATTGTTTTTGAATACTCTATGTACAATTATAGAGAAATAATGAATATAGTGAAGAAAATATGTAGTTAAACTTCGGTTAGAACTCTTGAAAATCCTTATATATTCTGTAGATACAAAATTAATCACTTTCACTGTATTTGATTACATTTTTATAGTTTGTAATTTAAACTGTCCAAAGAATTGTTTTTTACTTTGACCAGATATATTAATGAGGAATGGAAATTATTATGCCTAAGGAGATTTGATGCATATGGGTGTGACTTTAACCTAACCTAACTCCCTTACCTGTAGTACTGAGAACCAATATGTTAATGAAAATTAGCAATTTAGTTTTGAAGAAGCTGTGTTAAATATCAGAACAAAATAAAAAGTATGTAGTTCTGTTAACCACAATTTTAATTTCTAATTAACTGGTTCATATTATCTATCACAGTTAGTCAAAGTTCAATAATATTTAAAGTTCTTCAAGCAAAAAGAACATCAAAATACCATGACGTGATCTAATTTGCATTTTTTTTATACACAACCAAACCCTTAATACACAAATTAACAAAATATATTTTATTTTCCACCACATCGATATCTGTCGCATTGGGGACTCTCATTTCATTAAACAAACAACAAATTAAACTATATACACGACTTAAATATTTTATTATAGTACTCTATCGATCGGAATAACGACACATATTATTTACACAAACTTCTTCTCGATCATCAAGCTACAGAACCTGTAATAATCACAGGTTAGCCTGAATGTAAAAGGTTTAAATGCAGTTCTGTTGTTAAGAAATATTACTTCCTTATCTGTACAGAAAAAAAGATTTAGGTAAACACTTTTCCAGCTTCTATAGTGAGATTTAAATAACTATAATAGCATGAAATCTCTTTGTGAACCACAAATTTTTTTTGATGCAATAACCACGTTAATCATACATATCACTAACATATATACGATCAGTTATTATAAAACTGCATCCTGCTATATAAGATAAATAAATTTCAAAACGGCAATTTTATTTCGAAAATGACTATATAACATTATTCGTATAGAGTTTGACAAAACGCGAGTTACAGTCTCAAGCTCCTTACTTAAAATTAACTTTGATCACTTGGATAATCATCTACTCTAACAAATGCTCCCTTCAAATACTACACATATTTGTTTTTTAGCATCCTTTATTGAAAATGAATAGTACAATCTTAACCATGTCGTAATTTATTACTATTGTTGAGGTGTATTTAATAGATATTAGAAAAGACGGGTTTCGGGTTTACTGAACCAGTGTTCAGCTCTCATAAAAATAAATTATAATATAATATTATTTGTATTAATTCATAAGGTTTTGTTCGCTTAAGCCTTCTCAGTTCATTGGTAATATGCAGGAGTTGAATAGCTACATTGATGTGATTGAGTAGTCGTTTTTCATTCCTGGCATTTACACCTGCTTTGGTTTCTTTGACCCCTATAACTTTCAAGTCTTTATGTTTTTCTTTTCTTTTTTCATATCGATATGTATTTGTTGTCATTCGTCAATATTTGTTTTGTCTTCGCTGTATGATGTTCCGATTCGATTGTTTCGTACAGTCCCATAGCTGTATGTCATACATTCAAATAGGTTTCATGACAGATAGTTAAATTAGCCGTTTACAATATAGCTTAAGTTGAATATGATGTCCAATTAGCCAGTACATTAGCTACCCTACAAATATGAAATTGAGTCGTTCAGGTGAATGGAACTCAAACTGACAGAGTTCCATTGTAATTACTTTTAAAAGGTTTAAATTTCCAAAAACATAATTAAATTAAATTGACATTTTCCTATCTTATCTTATCTGATTTGTAAACAACATTTTTTAAATATTTCTTATGAAAGCCGATTTTAAGATAAACTTTAAGCGGTTTTAATTGATCACTGAAATAGCAAGTCGTTCCCTAAATGTGCATTGTAAAACTGGCCCTTAATTACTCCTTGACAATTGGAGAATGTATATTTTTCTTCATAGAAGAGACAATGGTATATCATGAGCTATGAGATCTATACTGTTCCAGATCTGTCTCTGGTGAAAATCTGCTAAGTTAAGCAAGATAAATTGAGACTATTTATACCTTTAACAAGGCTGCAGACCTCATTTCGTTAAAGAAAACCAGATGGAGGTTCTGCATTAGTTTTCTGACAATCGAAAATTACGAGAAGATAAAACATTTTTTATAAATATTAAAATTAAATAATCACTTAAAAAAGTTAAAGAATACAATTAAATAAACAATGTACGACATACTTCAGCCGTCTGTCGAGAACTTATTTGGCTGTTCATAAGATAAATACAATACAGATGTATATATGAAAAATTAGATAAAAAAAAATTCAATTAATTAAAATAAATAAGAAAAAATTGTTATTGCAATACGGTACTGTTACCTCTTGATAAAAAAAAAGTTAATAAATAACCTTTTGTTTTTCTATATAAATTAGATTTTATTACATAATAGATAAAAATATTTTTAATGCAAGAAATCTTAATTATTTTAGAAGCATTTATTTAAGTACCTTGCGACCCTATGCTCCTAGGAGTTAAAGGATTCAATATATATATATATATACGTATTTAATTATCTTAAAATATATGCATATACAGTATTGTAGCAGATGGAATGAATTCATTGTATTTAAAACGCAGGTGGGCAATAATAAATCCTCATTATATATTTCAAGTGGCTCATACTTACACTAAGACATCACACTTGACTATTATTTGCAACAAGTACGAACCATGGGATATTCAAGTATTTCTACTTAATTGAGTGTTTAAATAATAAATATTATGGTTTACCTACAAATGAAAGGACATACCTTGAAGCGGTTAGCTGCATGCATGCCGCTGCGTAGGTCTCAAGCCATTACTTCCCGTACCTGCAATTTGCAATCTATAATGAATAGAATGTCCCTAATTGAACAATTCGAGTGGAAATTCCTTAGCCTGTGCAGGGATGTCAGTGCACTCGAAAGTACGAGTAGATGTAGTGATTTATTTTTATACTGTTTTGTCATTTTCCTGATGTAATTTATATAATGCAGCTCACAAAAAAGTGGAAAAAGTGAGTTGACTTTCATAGAAGTTCAATTACCTTAATAGTTATTGTAAAAATGACACAGAGTAGGGGTAACAGTGGGATTACAACAATCTTTTGATAAATTATTGTGCAGTAGCACAACTGAACGAGTTCATGCCACCCCATTGTGATGATTTTGACGTGGCTCTTCTTCAGCTATATTGACATTTTGCCATTTTTTTTTCATATTAAAGCAAGCAACTTGTTGCTGTTGATAAGGTTTGACGCAGCACGTGACTACAAACACATTTTATTTTTTTTTCAGGCCATTATAAGGGACTCTCTTCTTTTATAAAAAAATATAAAATAAAAAGAAACTATTTACTCTCACATACTCACCTACTCAACGATGAGCTTGGGCTTGTATTTAAAATTCCATACGAGTCAACTCCTTTAAGATTATTTTTTAATTTTTTTTTGGCGCTTATTTTTTCTATGGGCAATGTTGGCTCCACAATGGTGTTGCGTTCATATAAAGAACTGTGCCTCGAATCGTTTTCAATATTTTTGGCATTTATATCATGTATCTCTTTTAAATCATTATTAAACAGAAGAGCGGGTAGATTCTTTTTAGCTTTTATCTTCCTCTCGCCGGAAGCTACGTCATCGTCTGATGTTGATGCTGCCGCTAAAGTCGCTAATTTCATGAGCTGCTGCACATGTGCAGGGGATTTATTGCCTCTGTTACGTTTGCTGTTTGGCGCCTAAAATCAATTTTATAATATGTTACACAAACTATAAACTTTTTAATTGCTGAGCATTGCTCTATTTGAATAGCAAGTAAATTCAATCGAATTCAACTAAGAAACCTACAATTTTAATTTCTTCCATATCAAAAAACTGCTCAGGCTTTTCAACAACATCGAAATACCCTTGCTCCTTTAGTTGGATATTGGGATCGAGCAGTTCATAAGTTTTTGATTTGATTTCCGTAAACATATTTGGATTAATTAAATATTGTCCATGCGCGATGTTCGCGAGTGTATTAAAAACATTGATGAACAACAAAACACAGAGGAACGTGCGGGCAACGAGTGTGGGCATGAGTGCTTGCATTTTTTAATTAATCTTATAATAAATTTTTTCAATAACAATTTTATAATGATATTTGTTTGCACTGCACTATCACTTGTTGAATGCAAAATTTTCAGATTTAATTGTTTTTCACTTCACTTTAAAACTGCATGCTGCGTTTTAATTTCAAGTGTCGTTCTTGAATGTACCGAATTTTGAGGACCGCACAGCACAAAAACAAAATTCTCACTGAAGGCAACAATGGATCTTTTTCTAAGTTTTATACACATTATAGAGGAGGAATATATAAAAACAACAAGCAAATTAAACAACAACTCAAAAGTATCTGCGGCATGCCATAAGCAACTCGCCTCATATGGACAGACATATATATATACAATTGGTTATATGAATAGGTAGACAAACCGACAGACAAAAAGATCTACGGATACAATTAAATTCTGGATCAGCCAAAAACATTTTGAAGGGAATAAAATCAAGTCGAGAGATCACAAAAAGGCTTTAGATTTTATTTTGTAGAACTCATCATTTTATTTTTTACTTATTTTTGGGTGATTTCTTTGAGTTTTTGTCTACCTGCGTCATATGGATTTGAGCATTTGCACGTAGGGATTGAGTTACTTTTGGTGAGACGATTAAGTTGGTACTTACTGACTGCTGCTATTGTTTTGCTTCGATTGATGTTCTTCTTAAAAATGCATAAGCATGTTTTTATAGATGTTGTTGTAAAGGTGTAGTGAATGTTGGTAACGTGCCACCAGACAAGGGTAGGCATAATGTTCATATCAGGCTGATATAAATTGTTTTGTTTACTCACGTACACTTTATACCAACCTACCGATCATTGGAAGAGATTAAAGAAATTCTTGTGGAAGTTTCTTTCTGCTGTAGAGCAACAGGTCTCAATTTCAACTTCAGCTGTTACGGAGACACTGAGCAGACAATAGTAAAGCCCGAAAACCAGTAATAAATCTTCACATAATTACACATTACGCAATTTTTTACTCTTCGCATAGAAGGCGCACTCTCAATACGTTAAGTTGAACTTGTTTTACAGTTGAAGTATTTGCTCCAAAAATCGCAGCAATGCCAAGACCGGACAATGCCTTAAGCAGCTCTGATTTATCGCTTTTGCGTTGCTTTTGTGCTTAGCGCCACCATTAAGAAGAAGATAAAAGGCGGATTATGGAGTAAAAACTTTTTCGTTGTTTTTATTTAAAAGTGCTGATAGTTTTTATACTGTCTTTTCAGAATTCAAAAATAGTTTAAGGACGAGTTACAAAGACCTTATTTTAATATCGAGTCTTTGGCATTAACACTAAGACGATTAACTAAGACTTTTAAAATAGAAAATAATATTCACTTTCAATAAAAAAAGCAATAAATCAGTAGAAATGTATGAATAGTGTAATTTACTGTCCGTTAGTGAGTCTAGTCTCTTAAAGAAAAGTTATTTAATATCAAATGCAAATGTGAATTAATAAATTTACATAATAAAAAACACATATAATTAAATATGAGTATATGCATTATATAGATCACATGCAGGCTGTAGCCACAAATTTAAAAGGGACATGGGCTTTCAATTAAATTACGAAGAATCTTATTATATCTTATTATTATATAGTTAATCCATTAATAATGTATATGCACTATTTATTAAAAAGTTTGGAATTATTGATGTGTCTCTTAGAAAATAATTGCTATTAGTCAGTATAAAACAAAATGTATTCATTTAAGATTAATTAATTTCCGTTCTGTCCTAAAAATTTCGTGAATAATTTTTATCTTATTATATAGTCATTCGATTTATTTTAAAAGATGTTTCAAACCCTCAAACCACTCTTCTCCCTACACCCACACCTGTTTTGTTTTGTAACCCTGTCTTAGTTATTTATCACTTTTAAACATCATTTCCATAGTAGTCTATCTTATGAATTCTAATTTAAAATTTAAAGATATTAATATGTTCCTTAGAAAGTATTTACTATTAGTCAGCATATGACAATATGCGTTCATTTAAGATTAATTAATCTTTATACTGTTCTAAAAGGAACTCATACTTTAAACAACATTTTGAGGAAATTTATTACTTTCAATAAAAAAAATAAATAATGTATTTGAATCAATTGAATTTGTAAAGCACATCCCCTTAATTAAGATATCTAAAATTGAAAATTTAATGCATTAAATTAAATTAAAATTTGGTATTATTCTTGTGGATCTGGGATGGAAATCATATACATGTCTTGTGACTCACCTTATGGATAGAAAATTTAAAAATTTAAAAATATCATTTATCAATTCTTGACTCACTTGAACAGCAAGTCCATCAAGCATTACGATTTTCTTCCACTTTTTGGACATACTTTATTCATATTACGATATTTTTTAAAGAGTGCATTCAATATCATATTTGTAGAATTCATCTCTTAACGTCACTATATAGTTAATATATATCTGATACTGATTTTGTTCTATTTCTTTGTCCTCCATTTACGAAGTTAGAATTATTAAGGAACCACTAAATTTATAAGTAACTCAGAATTTTATTAAGTGATGATTTTCTTCCTGATATGCTTTAAATAAAATATAAATTCTTCAATGATTATATCTATTGTCATTAGGATATATTTTATTCCATTTTTCTGTATGCACACTCACTTTTTACTTACTCACACAGAATGCTCATACGAAACAATTTTCATTCAATATAAAATTGCAATTTAAATTAATATCTGCTTCTTAGTCTGCTGTCAATCAATTGATTTTCCATGAAATCACTGTACTCGTATGACTCTTGTGTTTCATCTACTTTATAGATACTTTTGAGTGAGCCTGGAAATGGAGTCACCATCTCAAAGCTGGATGAGTTAATATCCTCTTCACTGTTATCAAAAGGATCGACAGCTACATAGGATGCCGAGAACCCTTTTAATGTAACAGAATTATCCGTCTTGAAACGCACCAACAAAGAGTCAGTTAAGGATATTATATCCTGAGGAAGCTGTTTGTGAAATAATGATACAATAAAAAAATCCATTCCTTATGTTTGCTAATCTATCTTCATTACTTACCGTGTTTCCACAGTATTGTCCATACATGGGGCCACTTGTATCCTCCATTCCAGAATAAACTTGCACGTAATCGTAAGTGCAATTTTCACTGCTTTCAATATCGAACGTTAGGAACAACAACTGTACATTGCTGCTCGGTGGTGCTTGTATTGTCCACTCACAGTCCATGTTTTCATTGTAGTTGTGATTGCCGAAACGCGAGTGCGAATAAAATTGTTTAATTTGATTTGTTGCACGTAAGTATCCGCCACATGCTGCATTCAACATAAATTAACAATACATTTGAGTTCTAATCAATTAGTAGTTTTTTATTTCATTTCATACTCACAAGTAGAGTGCATTGCTGTGAAACCATTGAGTTGCTTATTTTTATCTGTCTTCAATACCATGTACAATTGGTTTGTGGAAGATGATATCGGATATGGTATTTTGTCTCCACAGAAACGTCCCAAAAGCGAACTGCTTTCAGACTCGCCATCGTATATTGCCACATTATCGTAAGCGCATTCCTACACAAATCAATCAAATTCAAAAACAGAGAATACATCAAATGCGAAAGCTTCATGTGGAAAAGAGTGCATTTCATTAAAATTTATGTTTGCCATTACCTGATGCGATTCCACATTGAATTCGTTGAAAATTAATTTGATGCGATGTCCTGTAGTTGTCAAGAAATGCCAAACACAATCAGCATTTGGTGGATACAAATCCGGAAAATTGGGACTATAGATAGTACCGAATGGTGCGGAAATTTCATGTTTACATTCGCCCTCCTTACAATCATGTCCATTCTCGTGCAGTGAATAGCCATTGTGGCATGAACACATATAGGATCCAATTGTATTGAGACATTCATGCTGACAACCACCGTTATTAAGGGAACACTCATCTATGTCGGTAAAAAAAACCGCAGCAAACCCGCTACGTTGCACTGATTTATCGGAATGAAATTCTACACGTAAAGCATTGCCCTCTGAAGTGGCTGTGGGTGGAATGGCGTTTCCACAATAGGTGCCAATACGTTTAAGGCGATTTTCGCTGAGTTTCGAATAAATTGTGACCGAATCATAACCACAATCTGTGTGCTGATGTGTGGTGCCTTCTAATTCAAAATGTGTGAAATTGAGAGAGATTTTATGTTTTGGCGGTGCAATAATTTCCCATATACATTCCTTTAGTATAGGATAAAGTGCTGGAAATGATGGTGAAGTAATAGTACCGTTTGGATATTCTATCACACCACCGCAGGCATCTAAATAGAACAAAAAACGGAATTAAGAGTGTTAATTCTAAAGTTTTTATGCTCTCGTGTTCAGAACCATGGTTTTGATTTTCACATTCGATAACCTCTTCCATGACAAAACCTGAAGTATTTGCTTTGCATATCGATGTATCCAAAACAAATTTAACGAACATTGTGTCAAGTGTGCCACTTGATCTATAATTAAAAGCACCGTAAACAGTGACGAATTCAATACTTTAATATCATTCCTAATCAATTGAGTTTGCATGCAGTTTTGCAAGATCCATACCAAATCAATAATGATTTTTTTTTTAACAATTGTAAAATACATTTAATTTAAAAAAATTCAATCAGAATCTTCACGAAATATGCTCATGGCTAAAGTTACGACGGCGCTTTGATAAGTCAGTGATTTTTTTTAGTTTCCCGCGCAGATACTCCAAATACAACAGTGCTGCCGTCAGCTGTAATCTACCAGTGGGTAACTTTGTAATTTTGAGCAAGCTACGTCGTTCAGTTGGTGTTTGATAGCCGTTCAAGGCAGACAAAAGTGAATTTCGTGTGCTGGTTAAGCATTACTTTTTACGTAAAAATCCATCACTGAAACTAAGAAAAGACTTGATAAATACTACAGGGACTCGGCACCATCAATTTCAATGGTTAAGAAGTGGTTTACAGAGTTCCGTTGTGGTCGTACCAGCACTAGTGACGCCGAACGTTTAGGTTGCCCAAAAGAAGCGATCACGTCGGAAATCGTCGATAAAATCCATGAAATGATATTGGATGATCGGAGAATGAAAGTGCGTGAGTTGGCTCATGCTGTAGGTATCTCAACTGAATGGGAATATCACATTTTACACGAATATTTGGACATGAAAAAACTCTCCGCGAGATGGATTCCGCGATTGCTCACACTTGACCATAAGCGCATTCGTTTGACCAGTTCAAAAGAGTGTTTAGCGATGTTCAGCCGTAATCCGAACGAATTTTTTTGCCGTTTTGTTACTGTGGACGAAACATGGATCCATCACAACACGCCAGACTTGAGTTCATATTTATTACTGAACAACACTGTTTCACCTAAGTGACAGATAGCCTCGGCTCTTATGAGTCATGAACAAATTTGAACCGAAATATTGTTTTTTCTCTACGTCTCAATTTTATAATTTACATTGCAAACAACAACAATTTTAATTTTGACGAGCCCATGACCCTCTACATTACATGGCCTTAAAAATAATTATTTTGAAAACGCTCTCTTACGTTGAAGCGCTCTGCGTATATACTTATTTACAAAAATCTGAAAATATTTGTTATAAATATTAACATTTTATTAAGTATTTCATATATTATTTGTTTCTAATTTCAATACTTCAAAAAGTTTTAAGTTTCTTTTTGAGAATAAATTAAATATTAGCAATTTCTCAATAGATTTAATAATATAAATTAAATAATAATGTGAAATAATATATATAATAGTGATTAGTTGAAATGTCAAGTTTAAAACAGAGTATCTTAAGGTTTTATAACTCAAAATTGAACATCAGGGATTTAATTAAAATTAATGTATTGAACAAATATTAATTTTCACAATATATTAACACATAATTTGAACATAAACAGAATGATTCACACAAATTAAAACTAAGTAATAATTATATTAAGCAAAAATCCTACAAGTAAAAGATATTTGTGTTTAGTCTTGAAATATATAAAAGTGTAAAATTCATAAAAGCAGTTATTTAATTCAGTAAATTAATATTTAATAAATCTTTAATTAGGCTCAATACACATCAATTTTGATTTGTATTCACAATTCTGATGTGACACATCACTTCTGAGATCCTGAAGCAAAATTTTAATTGAAGTATGATCCTCATCGTTTTGTAGTGAATAAGTAAGGAAATGTAATGGTATGCGTGTACTCATTATTGAAGGTGATAATGAGTATTAAATTAGTTATAATTATTTAATTTTTTTTTTGAAAAAAATTTTCTTCATGATGTCTTCACATATTTTTCATATTTAGATATTCTATAATTCAAAACCCAGAATTCAACATAATATTATCTACTTTAAAAATGTTTGACGCTGAGGTCGCTTACTTTGGCGTCTGATCTGTTCATTGTTTTCTTTACGTATAGGCGTTGAGTATAAATTTTCATTATTTATTTTAGTACTTGGAGGAGTGAACTTGTTGTCGCCAAAAGACTCACACCCATTTGCTGGACTTGAAGAATTAATGTAATCTTTATTTTTTTTATTATCAGGTATAGGATTAACGGGCGTTCTGTTAGAATTATTTGCACTAACTTTTTGGAAATAATTATTTTGTTTATATGTAGTAGGTGTTTTATTAACAAAAGACATTGTTCGCCGTTTCGGAATTGAAGATTGTTGAGGAGCCTTTGGGAGTTTTGTCTTAATAGCATCTCCCATACTTGCACGTCGTTTTTGTTGTGAAACTGTTGGCATTTGATCAGGATGTTTTACAAATTTTGGGGATGTCACAATATATGTTTCATTATTAATGGGACGACTTATAGATTTTCTGATAACTTTTCGTGGTTTCTAAGAAAATTTAAAGTAAGATAATTATTAGAATTTTTTATTTCAATTAAATTTTGTATGTACCTGCAGTTCTGGTCTTGTTTTCATTATAACCATTATATCTTTCCGAAAATTTCTATTATCTGTTAATTGTAATATTTGTGTACAAGCTATTTCCTTTTGTGGACTCCAAACCATTTCCATTTTTACTTCGCTCTGAGCGGGGACAACATTCTCATGCCAATTAAGAGATATACAGTGCTGTGGTTTAATAGGCTTAGTGACTTTAACCTGTATAGTATTTAAAACAATTTTAATATAAGTTATTGTAATAAATATAAGCAAAAAAAGTAATTCTTGAGAAGATATAAATTACAAATATATACGTAAATTAAAATCTACATAATTCAATGTTATATAAAATTGTATATAATCTAGAATTTGAAAACCGAATATATGTCTGAAACAATGGTTCACTTCGTGGTTGAGTTTTAAAATATTTAAAAGTCTAAGGTTCCGGTTGAAAGTTTGTTTGGTTCAGACAAGATCAAAAGTTTCACACTAGCATAAATTTAACGTATTTTAAATATATTAATTCATGGCAAGAATATGTTATTAAATATAATTTTTAAAAAAAAATTAACGTCAAATACTTTAAAATGTGACTTAAGCCGTTAAGGTTACCAGTTGCGGCCAAATCATCATACCGGTACCACTCTTTTGTATGGAAGACCAAGTTTGTTAACACTTCTGAACATAATCCAACTATCAGGTTCTTTATAACAAGGTTACAATAATTATAATTATTGCTGTGGTTGGTAAATTAAGGTATTTCGAGTCCCACTGTTTTGTGTCCATCTCAGTACCTTAATTATTTTTCGTCATTTAAGATTTATTAGATAGACAAAAAATATCTCTGGGAGAGTTTCTATATGGAATCGATGTAAAGTCAAATATAAATTGTTAACTATTTCCGGTATGTTAATCTCACTATTGTAACCTGTTTACTTATTTCAATAAAATCTGATTGTTATCCTTGATAAGTGACATTTTGCTTTACTCAGTACATAAGTTCATCTGAACAATTTGAAAATCTATGTCCACAATTTTTTTTTATGATGCTAGATATTATTAGAGTGTCATTGCTAAATAAGTTTAATAAGTTAAGATTTAAAAAAAATTGTATATATCACTAATTTGGAAGTTTAATATATACGTATGTTCTTTTCTATTTTTGTATAAAATAACTCACATGAATATCGACATTTCCTGTATTTATGATGTTCAAAATACGTTTAGCAGTCTTTGTTATCGGAACTTCTCGAAATTCTACAATTGACTTTGCTGAAAACAAAGCCATTACTACATTTGTCGGCTCCCTCACGACAGAGCCCTTTTTATTTTGAGATTGGCATGGGCTCACTTTAACCTGAATTGAAAAAATTATTTATTAACATATAGTATAGCACATAGTCTCACATTATTGAAGCAGACCTCGTAATTAATCATTTTTTTTTAAATTATGCTTGTATTAATTTTTCACTTAAAATATATTTCTGTTTAAGACAACTTAGATTATTGAATAAAATTGTTAAACACAAAAAACACAGATTAAAAATAAAGCGCTGCTATTAAAAATTGTCAACAGTTATGATTTTGAATCCGTTAAGTTAAGAAATTATTTTTTCTCTTGTTTTGTTCGAAAATTCGAAACTCTGACTAAAGGGATGCCATATGTCGAATAAATTAAAATTGTAGGTAAATGAATATTATATACAATATATTCAAAGCGTAGATTAAAAGTTTTTTAAACTGCGTAAAACATGAAAATATAATGTAACGTTTAATTATGATAAGTGATTTGTAATGTTTTGTTGAAAAAACATCTATTTAGAACCAGTCGGATATACTATCTGACGTTGTTTCCAAGACTGAAGTAATTCATCATACACAAAATCCTTTAATTGTGGACTAAATAAGTGAAATTCAATAAACGTATGAACGATTGCAATGCTATCGAGTTTTTAATTATTATTTATTTGTTTTATTTACTTCATATAATATATCGCTTATAGCATTTATGGTACAATAATAAGTATAAAATACATATAAACGATTTCGCATATTAAATATTTTTGATAGTTAATCAATTATAGTTATTAATGATATCAAATTCAATAAACACTAATATTCTTCTGAAAAATTTAATGTGAGGGGTATAGATTTTTAGATTTTGTTAAATTCACATAATAATATATAAGACAACTCTTGTTAATATGCATTTTTTTAAGTTTTTATTTATTTGCAAAAGAATATTTTCGAGAGATGCATGTGTTTTAAGTTATCTTTGTTATCTCGTTTAAGTTATCTCGTTTATGCAAAACCTTGATTTTTATGTGATTTTCCACACTCGTTGCATTTTAATTTGCACCCTTTTTGTCAACAATTGGAGGAAAACTTAATAAAAATTTTCATGCAGAAAAGTTTTTTATGCTTGCTCAGCTTTGGCTAATCTGAAGTGTAATGGTACCGAACTGGTAGACAGTCAGGCAGACAAACAGACAAACTAACAGAATGTAGTGCATACCTAATATGTATTTTTGTTTATTTGCATGACATTTTATTTATTTTAACCGAATTTTTTTTTGGACAATGGGCTAGCCTTCCTTCCTGGTTATAAATTTCAGTTGGTCATTTTCATGTGCTGCTAACAGAATTTAGTGGTTTCTGATAGTATTTTAATAGTTTTTCGAATGTCCTGCTCAATAGTGACACTTTTCACGTTTATTTATGCTTAAATGTATTTTATGGCATCTCTTCAGGACATTCATTACAGTTATGGGCGGACAAAGTGTGATAAAATGTATCAGCTTGAATTTATATTATGTTTACTTTTCTCCATAAGAGATTAAGAGAAATAACTTACCCTCAAAATCAGCGGTAAATCCTCGATATCCTTTGAAGGCATTATGATTAACGTAACTAATAAGCATACGACTTGAGTCACTTTTAATTGTTTCCGAAGATGCATTCCCTCAGGTTTAAGGATTACTGGTAATTTAAACCAGTAATCCTCACGTTTTTCCAAATAATCCATTTCCCAAATTGTCGTTCGTAATATGTTCCATAAATTGTGTGATGAGATACTTAAATAAAATTTGTTCTAAAAAATTTCTTAAGGTTTATAGTTTTATCTCAGAGATGAATGTGTCATAAAAAATTATTCACATTTCTATTCCTATAAATTCCAAGTCCTATTGATGATAATATTTAACATTTTTATAATCTCATTGATATTATTATGATATATGATAGAAATTCAACAGATTATAGTGCCCTCCATTTTTGTTTATTAAACAATTTTAAACTAATAGCAGAGCTTTAAAACTCACTCCCTTGCTAAAATGTGTATTTTAACGCAATGATTTGAATATTTGTTAAAATATTCTGAATATTTCACTATACAGACTTGAATATAATACAATTTTTATAACATTTTTCAATAAAACATTTTCATTCTGCACAGTAACATTTTTTTTCCATTTTTTCTAATTTTTTTTTTTATAAAAACTCCATCGTATAACTTTTAACTTCATCGTATTTACTTTCGATCTTATTTTACTCGTAACTATTAATTTCATCACTTTCTGGGCTTCATATGAAGTAATCAAAATTACAAAACAAATTATGAGACCACAACAAAATTTTCCTAATAATGAAAATATTTCACGTCAGAGATACACATTAAATATTTTCTCAATTACTTAGTGATATTAAATTAATACATATAATTATTAAATTTATAATTAGTATTGCAATAAAACACAAAAGATTTCTAAACCGCACTAAGTTTACGAAGTTTTTTCAAAATAATATAAAATTAGGAAATTTTATTATTAAAAATGTTAGTTTCGTCCCAACAAGATCAAATTCATTAATACAATATTGAATGAAACTGAAGGATATCAGTCATCGCGTGTATCACTTGGGATAAGGTTGACCTAAGCTTTATGACATAAGTCCAGCACAGAAAAAGATTTAAGATACCTTTATATACTAACTGATTATGTCTTTATGGCCTTCAGTAAGCATATCAAATACATAGGAGTTCCGGACAATTGCAGAGTATAAAAGATATATTTTTCGCTTCTTTCTTCGATCCACAAATATGATAATTGTCGTAAAATAGAGTCTTTTTAAGATCGGTTTACCTGCTCCATAACACAGGCTTTCCAATTCTAAGAACTTCTCCGAAACATATTTAAGTGTTTAATTCAGGTACTCAATAATTATTAAGAATATAAAGTGATATTGTGGTTTTAACAGTAACATACATTATACACTTAACCATTGTTTTGATTAAAAAAAATATTGCATTTTAAATGTATAAATTTCATTGTGATGCGGGTCTGGAAATTCCATTTGTGAAAGACTGATTAAATAAAACTATACAAATTAATCCACAAATTAAGAAATTATGTGTTCAAAAATTTTATTAATCTTTTCCTTATAAATAGATTAAAATACGTACCAATAACTTTATGTCTATAATGCATAGAGACTCGTCTTATACACTTTTTCAATGTTTCTGTTTTAATTTAATATATATAATTCAACTCACAGGAAAATGGTATAAAAACTATTGCAATTTTCTTTTGGCCAACATTTTTTATCGTTATCGTTAATATCTCCTGTAAGGTATTATTTAAAATATATATAGAATTCGGTGATTCGGCAAATTAGGTGAACAATGCTTTATGCGTTAAAATGCCGCACCACGGGTTGACGCAGATATTAAAATCAATAATTGCTTCCAAAGACCACTGATGACTTATATTTGACGATACCAGAAAATTAAACATTTTTTAACTGTTAAAAAATTTCTTAGTATTATGAGAAAATATGTAACTTGTCATATGTCATAAAACTCCTAATTAAAAAAACAAAATAAAAATTTACACTCTCGGAACAATTTCTTGGTTGAGTAATATTTTAACATCAGATATATGCTGATCAATGATTCGATGGATTTGATTTATTTAAAACTATATAATGGTATACTATAAACTATAATGGTATATGAGTATGTCTGATATCTTCTCTTAGCGTTGTGATTTATTAAATACAATTATCAAATACAATAAAATATTAATCAATCAAAATTTATTTAGTCAATTTTAAAATGAGCCCTATTGGGAGCAATAAGGTGTGCCAACGTGGTTAAACAAATCCCTAATACATTTTTCATAGTCTTGTGTTTTTCTCATAGATTGTGTTATGGTCTTCAATTTTTTCATTCTTTTATTGCCGCAACTTATTCTATCTGCTCTACCTAAATAGATAACAACATCGTTAAATGCGTTCGATTTACAAAAACAAATTGCATAAGAATTCCAAAATATAGTCGCAAATCACAATCGAAATGAGAATAAATAAAGAAAAACTGTTGCCACACTCTTTCACTAAAAAGTCAACAAGTCAGAAGTCTGTACAAAATAATGTTTTAATTGATTTGAGACAAAATGATACAATAAGAGTGCAAAAAAGGAAAAAATCGCACAAATTGTCTAGGCAGTCTTTTGACTTACTTAGTTGACCATTACTGACTTGAGTAGTCCTGGGCCACATCCAGTAGCTTCCGCCAGCCTCCGATCTGTGACTACCTGGCACTAGTTAATAGTACCGTGCTGACGATGCGGTCGTCTTATACCGCGCTATCCACTTGCGGGCAAACAAACACCTTTCTAGCCGGAGCATGGCATTAGCAAGCATCACAACACTTTTGTAATGTATTTAGTAGGGTTTAAATCTGCTGCTCGGATTATCGTGTCCAACCTTAAGTTAAAGTAATCACATGACAAGGAACTCACCCTGTCTGAAACCTTGTTTGGTATTCTTCGCAGACGACGCAAAGAGATTATTCCCAATTTTAACGGAGGTGGTGGCGTTGGTTGTCATTTTACATAGCTGCATAACTTTTGATGCGATACCAAATTCGGACATAACGGCACAAAGAGTATTTCTAATCGTAGTATCAAAAGCGGCTTTGAAACAAATATAACAAACAAATACGACAAATAAATGGTGTGTATCGATTTGCATTTTTCGGGTCTTCTTCAGGATTTGACGTACTGTCAATATCTGATCTGGTTAGTTTTAGGTTTAGAAACATAAAAAATATTCGTAGATGCCCGTATATTTTTACACTGTATCTATAATCACATTTTTTAGTAACACATACAAATTTGAGTTCGTGGACAAAATTCTAAAATAATAATTTGGATAAGCATTCGAACATAAATATATTGCGAGAGTCTATAGTCAGTGTACACATCCATTTAGTATGGCAATTGGTAGATATTTTGTCAAAAACTATTAAATCTTTATGCTATCGGTAAACATTAAAAAAACTATATATATATGAAATCAGTTGATATAAATACACAGGATACCCGATTGCACTCAAATTTCACATGTTAACAAAGTATAGTATAAAATAAAATAAAACTGTAACAGTATCTTTTAAGTACATTTTTCAAATTATAGCTTCTTAAATAATGTATCCCAAGTATTATTGATTAATTATACAATCACAAAGCCTTACAGCTCTTTTATTTGCCTCTTTCACAAAGAGGTAACATTGAATACAATTAGGATTTATAGATTTTTATATTATTTTTATTTTTTCTCTATATATACTTGACCTGTCTGATTAATACATGAAATACTGCAACTAGTAAAAATCTTTAAACGAAAAAAGAATACACTAAAATTAACTTTCTACACTTTTTGAATGTGTTTTGAATGTCCATATTTTTTTTTTTTAGTTCAACTTATCATCAGAATAGTCAAAAACTAATACTGGAATCCCTGTTTAAAGTTATCAAGCATTGTTATATTGAATATGATAACATAGTGCACAAATGTCTTTTCTCCTATTCAATGAACTTTTAAAAACAAAAATAATAATGCATCAATAAAGAGTAATAAAACACATATATTTATTTACTAAAACTTTAATTTAATGTTCTCTTTAAATATACATATAATATATAAATTACATTCATGTTAGGATTTGATTAATATTGTAAAAATATTCATTATTATTTTTATTAAAACTGCACATTCATTAAACGTTTTTAAATAGATGATTTCTTGACCAATTTTTTCACATATATTAAAACAAAACTACAATAACTCCTAGTTTTACTACCAATTTAAGTTTTTAAATGCAATTCCATTAAAGTAATTATTATAAGTAACTCTAATAATTAAATATCCTCTTATTAATTAATTATTGTAATCAATGAATTTATTTTTTTGATTCAAAATTTCTTTTTAATTATATCATCTAAATTTGATTTTAATATTATTAATTATGATTTTTAAGTTATTTATTTAATAAATTTTAATTTAAAATATATTTATTGCTTAAAAAATTAATTGCACGTTACATAAAATTTCAATGTCTTTATGTAAATACAATACTTATGATATCGACGAACTACTTTGAATTATCTAAGTAACTCAGAATTTTATTAAGTGATGATTTTCTTCCTGATATGCTTTAAATAAAATATAAATTCTTCAATGATTATATCTATTGTCATTAGGATATATTTTATTCCATTTTTCTGTATGCACACTCACTTTTTACTTACTCACACAGAATGCTCATACGAAACAATTTTCATTCAATATAAAATTGCAATTTAAATTAATATCTGGTTCTTAGTCTTCTGTCAATCAATTGATTTTCCATGAAATCACTGTACTCGTATGACTCTTGTGTTTCATCTACTTTATAGATACTTTTGAGTGAGCCTGGAAATGGAGTCACCATCTCAAAGCTGGATGAGTTAATATCCTCTTCACTGTTATCAAAAGGATCGACAGCTACATAGGATGCCGAGAACCCTTTTAATGTAACAGAATTATCCGTCTTGAAACGCACCAACAAAGAGTCAGTTAAGGATATTATATCCTGAGGAAGCTGTTTGTGAAATAATGATACAATAAAAAAATCCATTCCTTATGTTTGCTAATCTATCTTCGTTACTTACCGTGTTTCCACAGTATTGTCCATACATGGGACCACTTGTATCCTCCATTCCAGAATAAACTTGCACGTAATCGTAAGTGCAATTTTCACTGCTTTCAATATCGAACGTTAGGAACAACAACTGTACATTGCTGCTCGGTGGTGCTTGTATTGTCCACTCACAGTCCATGTTTTCATTGTAGTTGTGATTGCCGAAACGCGAGTGCGAATAAAATTGTTTAATTTGATTTGTTGCACGTAAGTATCCGCCACATGCTGCATTCAACATAAATTAACAATACATTTGAGTTCTAATCAATTAGTAGTTTTTTATTTCATTTCATACTCACAAGTAGAGTGCATTGCTGTGAAACCATTGAGTTGCTTATTTTTATCTGTCTTCAATACCATGTACAATTGGTTTGTGGATGATGATATCGGATATGGTATTTTGTCTCCACAGAAACGTCCCAAAAGCGAACTGCTTTCAGACTCGCCATCGTATATTGCCACATTATCGTAAGCGCATTCCTACACAAATCAATCAAATTCAAAAACAGAGAATACATCAAATGCGAAAGCTTCATGTGGAAAAGAGTGCATTTCATTAAAATTTATGTTTGCCATTACCTGATGCGATTCCACATTGAATTCGTTGAAAATTAATTTGATGCGATGTCCTGGAGTTGTCAAGAAATGCCAAACACAATCAGCATTTGGTGGATACAAATCCGGAAAATTGGGACTATAGATAGTACCGAATGGTGCGGAAATTTCATGTTTACATTCGCCCTCCTTACAATCATGTCCATTCTCGTGCAGTGAATAGCCATTATGGCATGAACACATATAGGATCCAATTGTATTGAGACATTCATGCTGACAACCACCGTTATTAAGGGAACACTCATCTATGTCGGTAAAAAAAACCGCAGCAAACCCGCTACGTTGCACTGATTTATCGGAATGAAATTCTACACGTAAAGCATTGCCCTCTGAAGTGGCTGTGGGTGGAATGGCGTTTCCACAATAGGTGCCAATACGTTTAAGGCGATTTTCGCTGAGTTTCGAATAAATTGTGACTGAATCATAACCACAATCTGTGTGCTGATGTGTGGTGCCTTCTAATTCAAAATGTGTGAAATTGAGAGAGATTTTATGTTTTGGCGGTGCAATAATTTCCCATATACATTCCTTTAGTATAGGATAAAGTGCTGGAAATGATGGTGAAGTAATAGTACCGTTTGGATATTCAATCACACCACCGCAGGCATCTAAATAAAAACAAAAAAATGGAATTATACTGGGCGAATGCATTAAGCGACTTCGTGAGTATCAACACAGAGCCAAATTAAAAAGTAAGCATATTATGCGCCAACGCACCTTCGCAATGTTTTTTGTCGCTGTGCAATTCATAACCAATATGACAACTGCACTCATAACCCCCCAGAGTGTTTATGCACTCGTGTTCACAACCATGGTTTTGAGTTTCACATTCGTCAACCTCCTTCATGAATATAGCCGAAAATCCTGCTTTCTGTACCGATGTATCCGACACAAATTTCACAAACATTGTATTGCCACTTGACCTAGAATTAAAAACAGAGTAGGCAGTGCCAAACATATAAACAGCATTTCAAATCTGTTAAGAGCTAATGTTGCAATTGGTAAACCATTTATCTAAAGACAGAAAAGCAACTATGGTTCAAGTAGTAATGTGATGTGACAAGTTTATTTTAATATTACTATTAATTATTATTTATTAAGTAAGTAATGCATAAATTGACTTATAAAAGATAGGAGTTGATTCAAGAACATTTAGATCTGCTGAACTCTACATTGTGTTAAAAAGTTATGCAGTGTTGTACGTGAACTGGCCACTAAAAAATAATCCAATTTAGAAAAATTTTCATTATCTCAATTAAGGTTTTCATTTATTGAATAGTAAGAAACATTGTACGAAATATCGGTTAGAGAACATTAAATTATTTTTTATACTAAAAACTAAAAGTTTATTTCTATTGATTTTTAGAAACAGTTTTAACAAACTTTACATGTAGGTAGATTTTTTTTGGTATGTTGAACTTTTTAGGATTCATAAAGGTTTTTTCAGATAAACTTTTTCAAAACCCTATATAAACCCAAAACCCTAGTACTTACGACAACAAATACTGAAAATTAAATAAAGAAAATATATTTTTCTACTTAAACTAAAAAATCTAGTTAGATGATTTTAATTTAATTGGTTTTTGCTACGGAATATTGAGTACATAGTTTTTTCAATTTTTTGTTCAAAATAAATGAAACTTTTAATAAAGTATTTTGTTCGCAAAATAACTTCAATTCCGCTCTTTTTATTACAAAATATTTCAATTTAAATAAATTTAGTCCTTGAGTAAAAATATACTTTAATACTTAATGTAATCCATTTCATTTATTAAAAATAATAATTTTACTTACTTCATATTTGGAGGCGGCTTATATCCACAAAACACACCAATTAATTGTGAGTCTTGAGATGGACCATCTCTTACTTCAACAAAGTCATAAACGCAACTGTCGTGATTTTCGACCTCAAATGATTGGAACTTCAGTGCAACTTGGTATCCTTTTGGGACGGTTATTTTCCAAATACATTCCTTGTTTGGCAAATATTCAAGTGGATAGTTTGGGGACTCTAAACGACCTTCCGATTCATCCACATTTAACTCACCACCACATACAACTAAAAGTAGAAAATAGAACAACTGAGAATTCACCTCATCATAGTTTTTTTGAATATAAAAAACATAAACAAAAATTTTAAAGCTTTTATTCAGACGAAGTTAGTTTTATGACACAAATAGAGACAGTATTTACAAAAAAATTATGTTGAGTTGAATTTCAAAAGATTAAATAGTTTCTTAAAAATTTTTATTATGTTATAGTTTTAGTTTATATACCATATAAAATTAAATATTTTAATAAAAGGCCTTTTGTTTTGTAAGCATATCACAAAAGAACAACCGCTTATTTTAAAAATAACATATGAAACAACAACACTGCTGGCTTATTTAGTCTAATCTTTTTGAAACCGCTTAACTAATAAGCAGCTGAAATCGAATGGTTGCCAAGATTAAAAATTGTCTATTGTAAACAATTTTGGGAAGAACGTACAAAATTTCCAGATAACTGTCAAAAAATATTTGACAAATAATACTCAATTCTATTGAATTTATTTATATTAAAAAATTATACTTAATTCTTGCAAAAGCCTGACAATACAAATTTTATTCACAATAATGAATAAAATAAATTATTATTACCCATAATTGCAAAAATTTATTTTTTATTTACGAAACTTTAACAAAAGCAGTGCTTTATTTTGTTGTTCTTTTGCGATATGCTTACAAAAGAAAACGCCTAATGTTATTTATATAGCATATAACTAAAATAATATAACTGTATAACAATTCAATATAAAAATATAGTATATGTAGTTATAAGTATATAGTAATTGTAACAAATTAAGAAATTGCTAAATTCGCTTTAGTATATGTATATCATATCATATCTCAATTATTATGTTGACTAATTGAATTATATCGAATGCGTACTTATTAAAAATTTCTAATACTTGTTAGATAATGCATTGAGAACTCTACTAAATGGACGCTGTCATTACTGTATGTTTTTCTTAATTGTGTAATATTGTGTTGTCAGATAATTCTCTGAACTGGATAAAATTACTGATCTTGTTGGTGTCCGTTAAAAAAAATATTTACTGTGTAAAGGTATTTGTATATTTCTATTTCATTTAATAAAGATGTCAAATGTCTTAATTCGAATTTTTAACTTACCATCAAATTCAGCTTTGAAACCACGATACCCTTCCGAGCGATGATTATTTACAAAAGTTAATAACATTCTGCTTGATTCTGAAGTGAGAATTTCATTGGCTACTTTTCCACAGAATCTACCAATTAGCGGAGATTTGAAAAAGTACCCATCCCTCACTTCTAAATAATCTGTTTGACAATTATTTGACTTAAATATATTCTAAAACAAAAAAGATAAACATATTAAATTCTGCTGCAAACTAATTTATACATTATATATTCTATATTTATATATATATATTATATATATTCATTTATATATACTTATATTATATATTATTCTATATTATATTGTATCATTCAAAAATATTACTATTATATATTGATTTTATTACTTCAAGTACTAACCAAATTTTCTAAACGCAGCACCACTCGTTCACCATGTGTTGCTGTAATGCGCCACTCACAATTCTCGGTTTCATTGGTTAGAGCACCGGCAGTGTAGTACGAGGGACTGGCAAAAATGCCAGTGTTCTCTTGAAAAGTTCGACCGCATTTTGGACATTTATAGAGCAAATTTGCCTGTGCAATATCACCTGCACTCAATCTTAAGCGTTGTCCTATCTCGGGTCGCTTCTTGCCCTTCACTTCGATTGGCAAAATTGTATCGAGATAACTGCCCTTGGAGAATGTATTGCGCGCATAATGCATTATAGAATCGTAGTCGTATGCCATACCTAAAGAGTCCACCTCGTCTGGTGTCAGTTTGTTGAAATTATAGTCTTGTCCTTTCATGATGTTATTGTGCTCGATGACGACATGCTTTTCGCGGTCGGGTCGAGTATGTTCGTGCCAAAAGCCCACAACGTGTCCCAATTCGTGTACAACAATGCCAAATTTATCACAGTTCCGGCCGATAGAAATGGCTTGTGGACCATTGCCACGTTTGCCAACAAAGGAGCAGCAACTGCAATTGTGCAAAAGACACAATCACATTCAAGACAATGATGAATAAAAAGTCAAAGTCAATATAATGAAAAAACAGAGGCGTAAATTTAGGAGCAAAATTATTTAAATGAAATTTATTATATAAATTCATTTTATGGTTTATATGGTATCTCTTAAATAATGTGTGCGTTAAATAGTCAAGAAAGTTTTAAGTGGAAGAAAGAAAAATTAACTCACCCACAACCGCGAACTGTGAATACAATATAATTCGGATGTACTTCCGGGTCACGCTCCACAAATTTGATGCATGTTGAGTTCTCCCAATGTCGCATTGCCTGCTTAAACAATGCCTTGTGCAAGCCACTGAAGTTACCATCAATTTCATACGGTATAACGCCATAATCCCAGACGCGTTCTTTTTTTGCTGTCACAGCGCGTGCCATGCGGTGATGGTGTTTCAAATGTTTAAAGTTTCTAAATATGGATTTTTGGTGACGATGAGTGGGAGGTGAAAGCAGTAGGCATATAGCAAGGATTGCAGTTAAAAAAAAAAACCAAAAAGATTTAAGTAAGCAAATTAAGAAGTTTATTTTTTGTGTAAAAAGTTATTAGATTATTGTTTTTCTTTCTTTTTTTTCTTTTTTTCTTTTTTTCTTTATTATTGAATTAATGAAACACAAACAAAAACTCTTCTGTGCTTTTATTTCAAATACTTTAAATGCAAAATAATGTTAAAATAAATTAACAATTTCAATTATGAAACATACTTTTTTGCTTTGTACAGATTTGGGTTCATGAATTCTGATTTTATGGAATTTATGTTATTTTCTCTTATTGCTTTTTAAGTAATAGAAACTTCTGAATCAAAAGTTGGTTTCGAAAGCGTTTTAAAATAAAGGAACAAAAAAGTTTCAAAAGTCACAGACCCGAAATTATATTCTGTGTATTTATTTGAATAAAAATTGAAATAAAAGTTTGATACTCAAAATTGAAATACGAAAACAGAAAAAGAAATTAACATTTGATGTTCATTTGTTCATTTTTAATCATCAGACTTTTTTAAAAGATTGATTGACTGACGGAGAGGGTTCACACCTCTTTTATAAAGTAAAGTATATAAATATACTAAATAAAAAAGTGCATATATATTTTAATGATCACATCTATGAACAAAATGTTAACATGTTGTAAAAAGCAATGCTGAAGAGGACTAATAATTAGCTACTATACGAACAAGATAATAATAATACTAAGAGAAAGAAAGCGTCGATTGTATGGATAAGAATGACCAGAAATTTGAAGGAACATGAAAAAGAATGCAATTAAAATGATGTAATCTCACTATAAATAAGAAGAAGCAATAAAAAAAGTAAGCCTTACAATAATTATAATTATTTTTATAATGTACGAGTATTATACATGTAATACATGTAATGTTATGTAATTATACATTTATTTTTATGCACAAATGTGTATCTTTAAAATTCATTTTACATATAATATCTTGTTTTATATTTTCAAAGAATGAAGAGATAGGATGACTGTCGTTAATCTTTCAAACAAAGATTATAGAAAGCGCATTATAATACTAGTTTTTCAATAATATTCATATTTTATAGTATATATGTTATACTCCAAAACCAGATGATGCCGTTTATCTTTTGTAGTAATATTGTTTTATTTTAATTAATTATTTTAAACGTAATGAATTATTTTAAATTGTATATTAAATTCTGCCCCCATTAGCAATTTAACTTGGACTAGACAAACCCCGGTAGTTCAGTGATTAACAACTATAACCATTGATACTGTGAGCCAAATTCAGATCCTGCTAAGTGCAAAAGTTTATACAATTTGTATATACAATTTAATAAACAATTTTAAATTGAAGTATTTTAATCGCAAGGAATTGTACAAACATGTAAAGTATATATGTATATAATATAAAGACAGCTTATGCATTTTGTAGCTCTAAAGATAAACGTAAATAATATACACTCGTAATTGAGATTTGAATCATATTTTTAATTCAATTTATTATCTAAATCTTCTCATTAAGTAATAATTATAACATTATTCAAATGTCCCTCGCCAGATATCTCACAGAACTAAATCTTTTTAATATAATTTTTGTTGACTTTTCGACACATAGGTGGTTATAACTCACGCATAGCGCCAAGTACACGAAAATTTGTATTCAAAGTGCCGAAAATTTGAGAATTGTCCGCATAAGCACGATCCCTTACAGGTCAAAGTCTCACCAAACCGGTATGTATACACGTCTAGTAAATTGCTTGTGCAACAAAGCCAGAAGAGAGCGTGTTCTTGTCTTGACAACTGCTGAAATATATATACTTCCTCACCCTCATATATATAATTTCACTCATAAAAATTTTGGCAAGCATGTGAATATAGTTATCATAGGCACCGGTTTCTATCCTACCTTCGTCATTTTCAAAAAAGTCTCTCACACTTTTGTACTAAATACCATAACATAATGTGACGTTAGGTTTTTTGTGGACATTCAATGCCCTACATGTGACAAATTTATTTGTTTATGTTCATCAAGTAAAGAGTTATTTGCCCAATTTTTTTTAATGTCTTTATAACACATTTAACGTTTGTTAAACGATCCATTTTGTAAAATGCTCCACCTTAAACATTAAAATATGTGATAACAGTTTTATTTGACTTATGGTATGAAAACAGTTCAGCTTAATTGGAACCACAACGCTTTATTATTACTATTAAGAACATTTTATATTACAATTTCAAATGATATTACCTATTATATGTATATACTTATCATAAAGTACTACTAGAAAGTATTAGTTACTAATATTGGAAAATATATGTAATAAGAAATTCCTGAAGAGAGTTTCTTAATATAATTCGGATATAGGTTAAGATCAGAATTAAAATTAATTTTTTTTTGATTTGGTACTGGGCTATTTTTTTGAATATAGATATTTTGCTCTTAATTTTTAGTTTAGGACCTGTGTTGTAAATGTAAAGGTTCTAGGTGGTTTTAAACCCTGAGGTTTTTCATTATTTATATACGGCATCACAATGGGCCAATAGGCCTAAGTGGATCCACTGGGGATCACCGGTATAACCTAACCTAATCTAAGTAGTAAATGTGAATATCCATTTTAAATCAAAAGTTTTCAGTTTAATTCAACTGGCGGATGCTCTATACCAAGTTATATTTTTATTTCATAACTCTTGAACTTTTATTATTAAAATTTATTAATAATTTTTTAATGTGTATCAGTTAATTACTTATTCACTCATGGTGGGTTAATGAAGAAATGTATATGCAATCAATTGTATAAAAATACAATTAAAAAATATTGTTTAAATTTTAAATTACTTTCGAAATTTTTGTTCAGATCATCTCACACATAAAATCAATGAAAACGAAGTAGGCTTTCCAGTGTTTAATCGGTGTCTACTTTCAAGTGTTCGAATTACTGTAAATTCAAATTTTCACATATTTCACATTCATTTGGAATATTTCTGTAACTTTTACTGAAATATAAAAAGTTGGTCAATAATAGTTATGGAAAACATATTCTACAGGGAAATAATTAATAAAAATATTTTACATAAAGTGAATGTAAATTTTCGTATGTTGAGTTTATAAAATCATATTTGCAAAATATTTCTAGTTTAGATTAAAGACTCAATTGTGCATATAATTAATATTAATTAATAATCAATAGTTGTAAATATAAAAGTAAATTTAAAAAACTAATAGCAGAGCTGGAAAGCATTTAGTCAGACAATTTTTACTATAACAAAATCATCTATTGCACATTATTTTAGTGCAAGTATGAAGCACAATATTTTTGTGCTGTTAATTTACAATGAAAAAAAACTTTTATGCAAAGAAACTATGTAGTTAAATATTGCTAAAACTTAATAAATAAAACAACTTAAATTCGTAATACGGCGTTCTAAATAATAATTGAGTGTAAAGTCTTACTGAAAATTATTATAAACTAATTTTTTTTGTATGACAATATTTTTTTGCGAAAAACAATTTTTAATCTATATATGGAAATTGTCAATAAATAATAATAATTACGTTATCATGTTGACTAATATGTTATATAATTCATGAAGAACACTCTTTCCAAGAGCCATCGTCTATATGTCAGACCATTAACTTTTACACTCACATATACACGTTCAAATGTATTAAAGCAAAGTATTATTATATACTTATTAATGTTATAATATACGGATAAAGTAAAAATAGAAACAGGTGCATGATTGAACTAGTGGAGATATTTTACAATATATAACACCAATGTTTCTCAATGTATTCTAGAGTACGCACCACTTAAGGCTTTAAAAAACTCAAATATTAAAAATTTATCCGTTTCTAATCTTTCTAATAAATAATTGTGCACTACTACATTATTTCTGAAGTTGGTAAACGGACTAACTTCTCGGCATTATTTCAAAGTTAACAATATCACTTTAAGTAAATTTCAAATCACACTTTTTGAGAAAGATTGTCTTAAATTATATTATATGTACATGTACATGAGACAAAAACTCGTTTTCCAAATAAAGTTATATTTACCAAGGTCTGATAGTTATTATTTTCCAAGGTCTAATAAACCAGATTAAGTTCTTGTTGCAGCATATCATTTATTGTATACCTTTTAGGATAAACCCAGTTTCAATATAACAACGCTTTAGCACATTATTTTCCAAAAATTTTTAAACATGTGTCTTAATATGAAAGACCAAATTATCCGCTTTTCAAACAATGAATTACTTAATCTTTTTTGAAGTTAAATAGTCTGTATTTAATATTTAATGAATTGAATTAATGAATTGAAACAACAAATAAACAATTTAGGTGAAAACTTATAAATTACAAGTTTTAAAAAATTATAAATAAAAGGAAATGTATGCAATAAGCCAAAAAATTTTTTTAAATAATTTTATATAAAAAGTAGTTACTAAAATAATAAAAATCATTTAATTTATATTTACTTACTCTGCATCTTCTAAATCAGTTTCCAACGATGTCTGCACCTCTGCAGTAATTGCATCCATGGTTGACTGACGTTTTGTTAGAACATCTAACTCTTCAGGATTTTCATTGGAATAATTAAAATTTTGTGCTATATTCTTTGGTCTATCAATTTGATGATATGTTGCTAAATCGGGTTCCCATGTACTTTTATTCTTTCGATTATTATTGAAACAACTTTTTTTATCTGGGATTTGTATTGATTTTCTTTGGTGCTCCACATTTCGATACCCTTGCACTGCATCTGTATATATAGGACGATTCAATTCCTCTATTAAACGTTTAAGTTTTGCATTATATTCAGTCCGCGCCTCAGAGCTACGACTAAAGAAAAAATTTATTTATTGAAAAGAAATTTATTGGAAAAAAGTGTATATTTTTCAAATAACTAAAATGTGCAAATTTTCACACCTAAGTGAATAAATCGCCTCAAGCATACAGTGATATACTTTCACATATAATAATTTTAGCATATTTACCGATTTTTGCGACCACGTCTATGACGTCGCCTTACAACTCCTTCGGCATGCAAAAATTCCACATCATCCATTTTCATGCCATTCCCACCCGCATTACTATAAACATTAGGTAATGTAGAACGTTGAGTTGGCAGTGAGGTTGGTAATATAACGACTTTACGTTCCGCCACAAAATTATTACCGGAATCATCTTCAATATCTTTTGTGTTCGATTGTATTTTACGTTGGTCAACATTACGATTATTCCATCCTGAGTTTGGTTTATTTAACTTTTCTTCTGTTTCACTAGCAACTTTACCACTGCTACTGATGCTGCTAGTTCTGTATTCCATTGGAATTTGTGGTGTTTTTATGTTAGCGCCGCCAGGCAATGCCGTTATTGCTCCGCCACTGCTTCCGCCGTTAAATCTTTGCTGTAGCAGTGCTGCATTATTGCCACCACTTACTTTGTTCTGCATTTCTGCTTCCTCGCTATCCAGATTGGCATTCAACTTTTTCTCCCGGAGTGCACTTTTTGTTTCGAAATATTCTGTATTTGTTGGATAGTAGGAGTTTTCTTTGGGTTGTCGGTGTGAACTTATGATTTCATTTTTTAAATTTCTTTTTAAATACTCGGAATTGAGTGAGTATTCTGCCAACTTAACTGGTTCATTGGCTGACTTTAAAATTAAAGAGAACATTAAAAAGATTTATTAATGTAAATAAGGAATTTTATATTGTTTATAAAATAAATCTAATAGCTCAACCGAAAACTAAACGAAAACAAAAACATTCAATTTACTGTAACAACAAAAAGTAAAACATTAGTTTAGAAAGAAAAGTCGGATTTCGCTATATTACAGTAACATATATATATATATACAGTCAGCGACAAAACTCTACATACACCCCCCATTTTTGCTAGCTCGTAAATCCAAGGACATAATAGAAAAAAGTAATGATACAGTTTTGTTTAGAACTGTTTTTTAATAATAATAAACAAAAGAAAATCCATTCATCAATATAAATTAACAAAGTTATTCGAAAAAAACCTAAAAAAATCATTGACAAAAGTCTACATACACTTCATTGATTGTTAGATATAGTCGACAGTAATTTAAATGTTAAACGGGAAAGTACCGTTTTTCATATTTCATGCTTGTGGCATGAGTCATACATTTATATAATGCACTTAGTTGTGCTTTGAGAGTGGTATTTAATTGACACGATGGGTCCAAGAAAAGAATTTCAAGTGATATGCGAAATCTGGTTATTAAGCATAGAAATGAAAAAAAACTTTATGGTAAAAGTATCAAAATTAGTAAATTTGACTCGATCAACAGTTCAGACGATAATAAGAAATTATAAAAATACTGGTTCTCCTGAAAATAAACCTCGCAGTGGCCGCCCAAGGATACTCATACGTAGGGATGTCAGCTTGGTTTTAAAAGAAGTTAACAAAAATCCGAAAATAAGTGCCTTAAAATTAGTCGAACACATTGCTAATGCAACTAGGAAGCATGCCAATCTACGTCAAAGTTATTTTTCCTACTTCAGTTGCAGCTACGGCTCCCCAAAGCATAGCACTGCCACCACCATGCTTTACAGTTGGCATTATATGCTTCGGATTCAGTGCTGTTTTCGCTTTCCTCCAAACTTTAGCTCTCCAATCGCGTTCAAATATATTGAATTTCGATTCATCTGTAAATAAAACCTGCTTCCAGAAATCAAAATCCTTTTCTTTATATTGTTTGGCAAACTCTAACCGCAGCTTTCGGTTTTTTTCAGAAATTAAAGGTTCTTTGCGTGGTATTCTATCATGAAAACCGTGGCTGTTCAACGTTCTTTGTACTATACGTGGATTGACATGCTTTCCAGTTGCATTAGCAATGTGTTCGACTAATTTTAAGGCACTTACTTTCGGATTTTTGTTAACTTCTTTTAAAACCAAGCTGACATCCCTACGTATGAGTATCCTTGGGCGGCCACTGCGAGGCTTATTTTCAGTAGAACCAGTATTTTTATATTTTTTTAATATCGTCTGAACTGTTGATCGAGTCAAATTTACTAATTTTGATACTTTTACCATAAGGTTTTTTTTCATTTCTATGTTTAATAACCAGATTTCGCATATTACTTGAAATTCTTTTCGTGGACCCCTCGTGTCAATTAAATACCACTCTCAAAGCACAACTAAGTGCATTATATAAATGCATGACTCATGCCACAAGCATGAAATATGAAAAACGGTACTTTCCCGTTTAACATTTAAATTACTGTCGACTATATCTAACAACCAATGAAGTGTATGTAGACTTTTGTCAATGATTTTTTTAGGTTTTTTTCGAATAACTTTGTTAATTTATATTGATGAATGGATTTTCTTTTGTTTATTATTATTAAAAAACAGTTCTAAACAAAACTGTATCATTACTTTTTTCTATTATGTCCTTGGATTTACGAGCTAGCAAAAATGGGGGGTGTATGTAGAGTTTTGTCGCTGACTGTATATATATGGTATATATATATGTGTCAACATATTATGAGTTTTAAAACTAGAGATCTGGGCTTATTTATTAGTAAGTAATTGTTATTGTAAAAAAGAAATTTTAAAATCATTACAGTGATTGTGACAGAGCCCTCTATATTGATTTATATATTTACAAAACTGGAAATGAATTTTTACCAAGATAGTTGAAAAGTAAATTTAAAATAGGAATACGTTCATCTAATGTGAAAAGCGCGTAGCACTGGAATCTTAAACTTCATACTCTACGTGCATTTTATAGTTAAAAAAGTTAGTTTTGTTTTACAATAAGATAGTCCTAATTCCCGAATTATTAAATCAAACGTCAAGTGTTAGTAGCCCCTCTCACAATTCCATATAAACGGTGGACAAGAACAACAAAGAATAAGTGAAAATTAATCCAAAAATTATTAAAAAAATATATTCGGATATACGGAAAAATAATTTACCAATTATTTACTTTTATCTTTTATAAAAATAAAGCAATATCTTAATATCGTAATATTTTTAAAGCTTCTCATTTAGATTAAAGAAATTTTATAGAGATATATTATATTCAACTATGGATACTATACTTTTATATTTATAAAAACAAACAAAATTATGTATTAATTACTTGCTTAGCTCACCTGTAAAGCATCGTTTCCAGTAATACCAGTTGGTATTTTGGTTTTCTTTCTAATGATATCAGTCAATCCCTCTTCTTCAACCTGTAAACCTTCGTGATAGACTTCTTGCTTGAGTATTTCCAATTCCTGTTGAAATGTTGTATTGAAACGTAGTGATGTTTCTGGTAATGGTGCATCTGCTTGTGGTAGCCAATCAGTGTCTGTGTGAGCCACAATCGGCATGTCATCACCGTAATTAACGTCGGGTAAAGCGATGTCGCCCATGAAACCGCCTAACCACCAAAAGCACAAATCCAAAAAGCAAAAAGATAAAGCAAAAAGATTTCAATATATTAAATTATATAAGGACTCTCAATATAATAAAGAATATAAAACGATAGATTGACAGCACAAATACCAGAATTTAATGTAATCACTGTGGAGCTTAAAACCACTACATTGGCATGAGGATTTAATTAAGTGTTGATAAGTGGGCTGTTGAGCTACATTTTAATTAAAATTAATTCATTTTCAATTGTATTGTACTAATTAATTTTCAGCGTCAATATATGTTACATTCATAAAATTGAAATTTTTCCCATATATTTACTATATTAAAGGAGCAACGTACCGTGAAGTAGAAATATCGACTGTACATATCTAAATTGAAGTTGTGATTGAGTTTGTGTTTCGACTATTTTGTTTAAAACTATGCGTATAGCATGAATATATATGAGTATATCTATTTATATATTTTCATCATGTTTAAATAAAATATTTTAATTGAAATTTCATGATTTTGTTTCGGTTTCCCACAATGGCTATAAACCATGCTTGGCTACGCTGAACCCTACATACTCTTCACATAATATAACTATTTTGATACATTTCCCATGTCCTATATCCTGTATGTCAGGCCCATTGAGTAACGTAAATAATGGCAATTTACAATTTAAACACGCACAACAGCTCAACATTCAGCGTTTTGTGCAATTTAATCAGTTCAGACAGGATAAACAAACGTGGTTAACAAGGCTATCATGTGGGCCGGCAAATCAGTGGAACAACTACGAACATTTATGTATGTAGAACATTCGCATAGAATGTTACTTTGACCCGAAAAACAAACTGTTGAAGATAATGAAACGCATTAATAATGTTTAAATTCGTAAATAACGAATTTTTATGTGTACTTTGTATAAACCAGCTATAAAATAATTCAACTTTGGCACATGTGTCAAATTTAATATGGTAGAACATATATTTTTTGAATTTTTCACCCATTAAAGATGAATATATATATTTGGTTTTACAGTCATTAATATTTAATCTTAATTACATTTTATATGTAAAGTAGCCTGATTAATAACACGTGTGAATATGAAAATATTATGTAGTTTCAGTTAAAAAATTATTAATTACGGTTTAAGTAAATAGTAATTACTGTTACACTTTTAAACTTAAATATTATAGATGAAAACACTGCCGAATAATTGAATTACGTTATTATACGAAGCATTCATTCAAATTTTATGAACACTTTTTACATAAATCTTGTTAAATTGCTAAAGATTTGGTATATATTTAATATAGCTTAATATAAATACACAATCCTTTTTCTTCCAATAAGGCCATCTCTACTTTTCTGTTAATACTGATTTAATACTGTGAGATTAATAAAACTGGATTAAATAATCTCTTATACGAGTATTTAATCTCTCTACAATGGAGATTAAAGTGGACGTATAATAGTTATGCAGCAAAATTTAAAGAAATATCTTTATGGAAATTATGCATTGTTGCACCGAGAAAAAATGCAAGAAAGATATTCTTTAAGATTTAATTCTAATCTCGTTTAGAAGGAGATTCAATATTTATGTGTCCTTCTTTTATTTAAACTTAGATTAGGTTAGGTTATACCGGCCATCCAAAGGAGATCCACTTAGGCCAATTAGCCATTGTGTTACCGTATAATGTGGAGATTCAATTCTTAAACTCACCTGGAAACTTTGACATAGCTTAGAATGTTGTTTAAAAGAAGATTTAACATTTATTTGTCTATATTTTATTTAAACTTAGGTTAGGTTAGGTTAGATTATACCGACGAGATCCACTTAGGCCAATAGTCCCATTATGTTACTGTATAATGGAGTGACTCAACGTTTAAAATCCTCTGGAACCTTTGTCGAAGCTTAAAATGTTATTTAGTGGAATGTATTGAAGTTAATCAAAATCCTCGAAGAAATTGGCCCCTAAAGTATTGAGCCACTGTTGTGTATGAGCTAAGCAGAGACAAAGTAGATGAGATGAGACTTTCTTCATCTTTCCCACAGCTGCGACAGATATCATTTTGAAATATCTGTTTTAATGAAATTTTTTGTGTATGTTCAAGTGGATTCAAGGATGGTTTAGATTCACAATTTGGTCCACTGGATAATGTTTTTTTAATTATTATACAGTTTTTTTGGTATCCATATACATTTATATTAGACACTTAAAATTTATTTATGCTTATCCTGATTTGTTTAAAAAGTTTAAAACTATTTAAATTAGTTTATATAAATAAGCTCATAAAATAATAAAGATTAATATCTTTCACTGCTGGACTGTGTTTCACTGTGTTTGAACATCGTTTTTAACTTAGATAAATTAAACTTGGCACTAATTTTTTTTAAACGACACTCCATAACCTGTCATATGTATAATTTTTCATCATGATTGTATTTTTCAACAATATTGTAATTATTTCTATAACTATTGACAGATGTGTTAAATAATACTCTTGCCATATATTATTTGTAATTATTTCTATAACTATTGACAGATGTGTTAAATAATACTCTTGCCATATAATATTTAGTATAGTTAAGATTTGATTAGTTTTTCTTTGTTTGCATAGTTTTGACAAATTTTAATATTAAGTCTTACAACTTATATGGTTATGCTGCAAGATACGGACGATGAGTTAGATCGAATGTACCTCTTGAAAATTGCCTGGATAATGTATGGGAAATTTGATTAAAATTTCATTGAAGTTGAAGAATCTGCTACCTAAGGCTATTTGTTTCGACAAATTATGGCAATAAGTCTTACAACTCATATAGTTAGGCTGTAAGATGCGGACGATGGGTTAGACCAAATATACGCATTGAATATTGCCTGAATACATACAATGTATAGCGATTTAATTCAAATTTCATTAAAGCTGAAGAAATTATTAAAGAACGAAGATTCTATATAGGTAAGGTCTAATGGATGTATTATATACAGCTAATCAACAGGACATTCTTATCATTTGATAGTTAATCACTACCCGACAGACCATATACGTAGTACTTTCCTTAATCTCGTCACAACGGCGACTACATATCATTAATACAAATTTTATCTGGTCGTCATTTGAATATAGCTTCGAATAACTATAAATATTAATAGAAATATTTGTGTGTGGAAAAATCCTTTAAAAGTACTCTTTATTAAATAGTACTAAAATCACAAATATGCTAAAATTGAGGCCCTGTACTCCACTAGGAGAGAAGGACAGCAGTAAGTAAGTAAGTAAACTCATAATATAAAATTTAAACATTTTTGATTAATATTTGTTTAAAGATTTTATTTAAACGTTGTTATTCACACTTTCAAACGCTTTTCATCTTTTTCAAATTAAAACAAATAATTTAGATGATTTTGTGTTATTTTTAGTTTGTCCTACAAAATTTCTCTAAAATCCTATCTTTAAATGCTAAACATTAGACACAATGTGTTGCTTGTTCTTGTTCCAAAGGATTTTCTCCACACCTACAAATAGCAAACAGCCATAGGTCGTGAGTATGCTTTTCGTAATTGCAAAGCATTCATCTGTAGCGACTAAGTTTTGTTTATGTACGATTGATGTGCTCATATGTAGGTTAATCTCCCTTTATGGTATTATCAATCAAATGTTGATGAGGGGTTTAAAGTCTTTTTTACACAATTTCATTCACTTGGAACTACAAATACAAATATTCGTAAATAGTTTACAGAACCATTGGTTTCCATCACTGATAAAGTGTATGCAATCGTATCTGCTTTTGTGTTGTTGCTTTAATAATTACAAAATAAGACAAGAACTGGAACCAAAGTAGCAAAATTCTGCACGCAAATTATAGTAAATGGAACATAGTAAATAAATGTAACCGAATGTGAGATATCAATCATATGTCTGCTAATTTCTTATGTGCAGCATGCTAGAATCAAAGGATTTAACGTGCAGCATCAAAAGTACCACAGACATCAGTAAATTGTTGCAGGGCATTAACTATGGTTTCGGAATGTGCTGCTATTTCATGTCAAATGATAATTAATTAATATTTTTGGATTATTGAGATGCATCTTTATACAATATATATGAAAACATATGTTTATGAAAACATTTCTGTATCATGTTAAATTGTAATATATTTCTGCTACTGACTCCGAAATATAATTGGAAATTCAAAGCCTACCGCATGAACTGGTTGTTGCCTGAAGTCAATGTACTTTGTGTTTTACTTATGAATTTAAGGTATTAATTAATTTTAATTTGGAGTATAATTCGTATACATGAGTTAAATAATGGCACTACAAATGTGTGTTTTCACAACACATTCATATATTTTCGTACAAGTATAAATTTCACATGCAAATACTTTAATGCTTCTGTGTTATTTTAATCTAACAATTGTATGCGATTGCATTTGCTTGACTGCATTCAGTCAAGTTTAATTTCTCTTAGAACGTTAAAAGTTAGGTAGACATCTTTGGTTTTAAGCACAATTTCCATTGGAAAATTTATCCAAAACATGAAGTTGAAATGCTATAAAACATTTTTAACAAATCAACCTTTTGTTTCGACTGTTTGCATAATGCCCCTTTCGTACCAGCATCTTATGATGATTTCTAAGGTTTTTGGGTTTCAAATGTCAGCTACAAATACAAATAGTCACAGAAACAATATACTCCAACTCAAATGTGACTGAGAACTGTTTCATCCGTAAGTACTTTCCTAATGTACTTACAGTGAATTATGCTAAGTGTTGGTATGGGTTACACATACAATATTTTTATTATCCGATAAATGTCAATCCTCAGACGATGGCACACATCACGGGGAAGTACGGTAACAATAGAGACTTGAAGTAATCACAATGAAGTGAAAACCATTGTAAATGTCACAAGAAAATGTCACCGGTCTAAAATATAATAGAAAGTCGTTTATGTGGAAAATACTTGTTTTTATTGCTGAAAAAGTTGGTAACAATTTTAATTTTAAAAT